TCTGTAAAATCTTATGAAACACATGTTTTTCTGTAACCATCCTTTTATAACTCTTTATCAATATGAAAAATGGTAGCAAATGTACTAAAGTAATGCATATCTGAAAACAGCAGGACATACTGTAGTTCTCACTTGAAGTACCACTTCAGTGTTTATGTGCAATAAGTAAAGGTGGTGGGAGCGAGACAGAAAGTCTTGTCCTAAGTTGAATCTAATAGTTTTTAAGCAGTTGGACTGGAATGGAAGTATTGTGAAATGCAAATAACTGGATTAACATTATTTAAAAAAACTATGAGCACTAGATTAAAGTTTCAGTTATTAATAAATATAAATTTAAGATTGATATAGCTCATCAATGATGACAGCCAACTAATCCCTCATATGAATGTCAAAGGGCACTTGTAATAAACAAAGTTACGGTACAAAACTGAGATGAGCCAAATACTGCAATAGTTCAGATGTTTGATATTTACATTAAATTTCAAAAAATTATTTTGGTTTTTTCCAATCCAAATTATCATTCCTATAGTAGTTGGTACTTGCACAACGTTGTATAACACAGTTATTCATTTCTAGTTAATATGCCTCAGGGCTCATGATCTGCCAGATTTGGGTCCGAATTCCCAATGCAGAGTAGTATCTTTTTTTCCCAATATAGACATAAAGTTTTCCCAATTCTAAGGAAAACACCATTATTTTTCCCGATTCTAAGGGCCCTGAGCCCCAGTCCCAAAATGGGGTGTGAGAGCCCTGATATGCCTATTCAATATTTGTCAACTGCTGCACTGCCAGATGATCTAGCTTTTGAGACTTGATTAGAGTTGTGTCACTGAAATGAATAAAAGTTCATCCTTGGCGAAAATTTTGTATGAAATGAAAACTTAACTTATTGTTTCTTGAGTTGCATGTAGTATATATGGTAATATGATAATTCCTATCAGGAACCAACATATGAGAAAGTATCTTTTAGATGCCTATGATGACTCAACATTTGACACCTCTTATGGGAGTGTTGTGTAAACACAATGAATATAACAAGCTTAACCTTGGAGAACTGAGGCATGTTCATGTATTAAAAAGCTTTGTAAAATCCTAAGAAATACATTACTTTTTGTAACAATCGTTTCATAACTGTTTTTAAATTTGAAAAATGGTGTCAAATGTACTAAAGTAGTGCATATCTGAAAACAAAAGCAGCAAGACGTACTGTGACTCTCACTTAAAATAACACTAGTGTTTGTGTGATAAGCCAAGGGGGAAAAACGGAAGGTCTTGTCCTAAGTTGATTCTAATAGTTTTTAAGCAGTTGGACTGGAATGGATGTATTGTGAAATGCAGATAACTAGATTAACATTATTGTGTCGCCTGCATAGCTGACAGACACTTAGGGATCACTTTGTCCGTCGTCACATGTTGTCGGCATCTGTACAAAAGATTTTCAGACTTTTTTCGGTAATGCTTTGAGTTATCAAAATGAAATTTGGCTTTTTGTTGCGAGGGTACAGATTAAGTTTGATTCCCGGCTGTCTGTGACCCTTCTTGGCTGAGTTTTGCCCCTTAGAACTTGGAAAATTCTCTGGGAATATTGTTTTCTTGACTTTCTTTGGTTATGCTTTGAGTTAAAGAACTGACATTTGCTATATGGCTTCTTGTTGGAAAGGTACAGATTAGTTTTGATTCTTGGTAGTCTGTAGCCCTTCTTGGCAGTGATATGTCCCTTTGAAATTGGAAAATTTCTCAGGAATATTGCTTTGCGCAGTTTTCCCTTTATGCTTCAAGTTGTAGAAATGAAATTTGGTATTACAACTTTATGGTTTATCGTTGCACATCCAGTTCAATTTCTGGGTGACCGCGACACTTTATGCAGGCGACACATACAGTTCTGAGGAACTCTTGTTTTAAAAATATTGAGGACTATATTAAAGTTTCAAATATTAATAAATGTAATTTTAAGATTAATATAGCTCATCAATGATGACAGCCAACTAATCCCTCATATGAATGTCAAAGGGCACTTGTAATAAACAAAGTTACGGTACAAAACTGAGATGAGCCAAATACTGCAATAGTTCAGATGTTTGATATTTACATTAAATTTCAAACAATGATTTTGGTTTTTTCCAATCCAAATTATCATTCTTATAGTAGTTGGTACTTGCACAACTTTGTATAACACAGTTATTCATTTCTAGTTAATATGCCTATTCAATATTTGTCAACTGCTGCACTTCTAGATGATCTAGTATTTGAGACTTGATAAGAGTTGGAGAAAATTTTGTATGAAATGAAAACCAACTTACTGAATCCTGTGTTGAATGTAGTATATATGGTAATATGATAATTCCTATCAGAAACAAACAAATATAAGAAAATATCTTTTAGATGCCAATGATGACTCAACATTTGACACCTCTTATGGGAGTGTTGTGTAAACACAATGAATATAACAAGCTTAACCTTGGAGAACTGAGGCATCTTAAGTGATTTTTTTGGGACTGATCTTAATAATAATTCTGTGAAATCTATTGACATATCAAATTTTGAGAATTCTGAAATTCACCGCAGTTGTTTGAAATCATGGTTTTTCTGCATTTTCATACATTGCTAGGTATTATTAATAATTTGTTTTAATTTCTTATTTGTGTTTCTTTCTACTTGCAGGTCTGGCTGTTAAGGACCTGAAATAAGCTGTAAATAAAAGGGAAAAAAATTGAGCAACTTTGTTTTTATTTTTATTTGAAAAACACAAACTTTGTGAGCAAGACATGGTTGAAAGTCTTTTCATTTACAAGTTAGTATCATATTTGGGATAATAGAACTACTTTTCGACTTTTGTTAATTATAGGTAAGCATGTCAGGGAACATAATTGACAATATTCAAATACTTTATTGAATTTGTTGAATTGCCTTGTGTTCATATATCATATCAGCGTGTAGGAGTTGGTGACTTGTTCTCCCCAAGAGTCCTAAATACACAGATTTTATTAGCAAGATCAAGATATTTCTGCATCACAGATTTTTGAAGAAGGAAATATACTTTAATAATGGTATTTGAAGCGATGAATTAGGCATATTGGATGATGTGACATTAATTTAAAATGAAACCTTAAACGATGAAGATTACAGCAGCTTACTAATCAATAGCATTATACTTTTGTATTCTGACTGGATATAACAATCTGATTATATTATGCCTTACACATTGTATGTCATGGTGAAATAGAAAATTATGTGGGCCAAACTCTGGTATCGCAGTAATTTTCTTTATGAAATTATGAAATGAGTGTAATGGCATGCAGATAATTTGGGTCAAGCTGTAGAATCAAAGTTCTTGGTGGGTGGAAAAATCTAATGGTGTTATATGAAAACTGGAAATTTTATATTCCTCAGTTAGAACAAGCAAAAATAGAAAATACATAGATATATCTTTATCCATTACTGCCTCATTTAAAGAGACTAATGTTAAAAAACACTAAGAGAAAACAATATAAAACCGTTTATTTTCCAATAGTATGTTACAAACTAAGACTTTCTGTATTACTAAATAAAAATTGAAAAAAGCTACTGCAACCATTTTTTATTGATATCTAAAAAATAAAGAATGCAAACAGTGCGGTCTTGATTTAATTCATAAATTACCACTCGTAACCCTGATGCTGCACATTCGTATAAGCTTAGAAAGGAGCAATATGGCAGATGCAAATATGAATAGGCGACGACCTAAAAGTTACCTCAAAGAAAGCGGAGGAGAAAAGAATCGGACCAGGTAAGAATTCATATTAGACAGGAGATCTATATAGATGGCAAAGATGGAGGATCTTGGACTGAATTCTGATTCAGAATTGATTATAATCCAATATCCAGTGTTTGATGAGTGAATATGTTATGAACAACACTTCTAAAAGTGTTATCTGATAAATGTTGAATGAAAATAGTGTTATTCGCTTGAATTTACTATCGACAACGTGTATTTGTTATTGACTGCAAGGTGGGGCACAATTTGGGGTATTCGTTCTAAGTGTTAAAATATGACGGTACTGATGTTACTGTGAGAAAAACGACCGAGATGAGAAACATAACCTTCAAAGTAAACACATAGACCCATGTTGAATGGTAAACAATATCTATTAATGTGTACAGGCAAAGTATCAACCCCAGTGCATTTCTGCACAATGAGTTTTTTTCCTTTTCCTATTGTAATTACCCCCTTCGGGGCCCCACTGGTGTAGCTCCCGCGATTGACATAGACAAGCCAAAAAAACGAATTAATAAGATTGATTGTTAAAAATTATATATTATAACACTATAGAATCATTTACTGCGAACAAGAATAAGCAGAAATGCGCAAAAGCAAGTGTCATATATAAGACATGTGCGTTTGTTAACACTTTCCAGGTAATCTAAAAGTAAATGACATCGTCACGTGACAAGCCATGCGAACACCCGGATTTCTTCTTAGTAAACCGAGCGTGAACATGTTTATAAACAACAGTCAAGATAAACAAACAATGTTCCGACGCCGAAAAGAAGTACAATAACAACACATTTGACGTTGTAGGCGCGTGTATCGCTCTATAATGGATATATTTTATTATTCTGAATATATTCATAAGCCGAATTCTCCATTTCTCGATGTTGAAATCTGAGGTAATAGCCGCTTTAGAAGGCTTATCCCTGGAAATTTACATACAGCATTTCAATTATGCCGACGAAAAGGTGCAAGTCAAGTCCCGTTTAAAGTCAAACTACGTTCGTGGTAAGCCGTACTGGTCTCTCAAACGCATTATATCACTATTCGTGACCCTTTGGTTCTTGAAATAGTGGGAGCGGTATGTGTATTTCAGTGGTTTATTTTTGGATTCTTTTCCGCGAAAAATACCTTTGCACACGACCCATAAACTAATCGGAACATATTGACATTACACATTGTATGATGGAGCGCGATGTATTTCGAATGGATAATAGAGTCGTGTGCAAAATCTTCGACACAGAATATTGTGAAATAGGCCTGCGGTATAAGGCCTTAGTTCCGGCTCTAGGAAGTTGTTTGGAATATACGCATATAATCTGATTAAATTATTTGAGGTTGAAAACAGACTTTTTTCAGGTGAGTTGACCAACTTAACTAATTTATTACACATTACATTGATAATTATGTTTTGCCATGTTAGATAAGAACTGAATTTGGCTGGACACGCCCGGGTATACTGAACTTCTATAACTTCCGGTTAGAAATGATAGGGTGACAATGGATCGTCAGCGCTGCCTTTGCATATTTAATTCATTTTCAAAATGTTCTTACTATAACAGACTTCAAAGAAAAACGTGAAATGTATTAAATAGGATGTCATGAAACAGGAATCAACCAGAGTTGTTTTGTGGGTTGACAAATTAGGTAAATAAACCAGAACCATCGTTCCAGTTATTACACACGGCAATTCTTGGAATTGAATTTTTACCCTCGATGGTATGAAACGTAACTTTAAACACTTAGTGTACAGGCACTAGGTCAAAAAGCGGTTGTAGAAATTACCAGGCAAACCCAAAACGCATTTAGGTTATAAACGACAGCTCAAAGCAAACCATTAAAATATATGTTGTTACGTTTATTTATAATTCACTACACTATGTAACAGGTACTGAAGCATATGCAAGTGGGCTATATTGACAGATTTGAGTCAAATGTAAACAAACAGGTGAAGTTCTTTTTTAAAATCTTAGCAAATATGTAGATTATAAATCAGGTAAGTTAGTGAAAGGAACATTTTTGTTCCATTAACCCGGTTTCAGGCAATTCTATTTTATTTGTCATTGCATTTTTTTCTATATCTAGGTACAGCCTATGTTCAGTAACTAACTCTATTTAGGCTTCATTCACTCATTGTGTCTGCAGATAAGTATCCCTTTGACGCAGAGTGTGCTTTTAACTGGAGTCAAATGCTTTAATGCAAAAAAAAATATATACATGATGTAAACTCCGTTAATTATGATGAAAGCAAGTGAGCCAAGTAATTCAAGGAACTCGCCAGAAATGGTGCCCTTTAGCACAAATCTTTCATTTCATCAATTCATTAAGATTTTTTGTTCATTTTTTCAATTTTTACTGGATTGTCTTGAGCTGACATGGCTTATTAGTATATGTTTGCCCTAAATATACAGATTTGGTTATATGGTATAATCTGCATATATACCGGTATCTAATTCTACTGGTTCTGTACCTGTACAATGAAAATATTTGCGAATATATTTTTAGAATGTACTCCCCTGTGTATTTCTATCAAAAGGATATCATTAATCATTAATCAGGAAACTGGCATATCAGTCTCACATATGTGTAACAGTTGCTCACATGCACCATTAAAACATGTATTCATAATGCAAATCAGATTCAGATTTTTTTAAGGCTGACAGCATTTAACATTAAAAGCAGCAACAGTAAGTACTATAATTGCATTAAGATTGTCTGCAAAAATATTACATCATAATAAATAAAAATGTAGAAATACACTTTCACCACATGGTCAGTCATGCTGCTGCAGTCCGTTGTTTATTCCTATATGGTTCATACAAAATCTCAAACGACTGCCATCAAGGAACACAAAGCCCCCATCTTTGATTCTTCTTTTGGTCATTCTAAAAAATACTGAATTTTCTGGTCTATCAACAGCACCAGAATGTAAGCTGCAGTGCTGGTTTTTTGGGGTTTGATCCACCCTTTCTTACCATGTTATGTTGACCAAGGTTTGTCGATATAACAGACAACAGAAGGCAATTTATCCGTGAAACATTTAATATAAGTTTGCAAATGAATTATACATGGATAGTCCTTTATTTTATTGATATGTTTGAAAAACGTAAAATAGCAAGTAATGAACTCGTTTAGCTTGGAATATTTCACAGATTGTCTACGCACAGATATAGGGCCTGAATTTATATGCAGTTTATTTAACATTATTTCCATCAGTGTTTGTACTGTTAAATATTGGTGGAGGCCCTTGGGTGCTGACAAAATTCTCACAGTCCTATATTATTTCTGGTAAGTTACACGAAGCCATTCTTGTCATAAACAAGCATGACGGTCATTCTAGAATTTGACCTGATGACCTATCGATCCAAGGATGCAACAGGCTATTGTAAACTTCTGCTATGGCTTCCGAAGCAACCATTAAAGTTCAGAAGATATTATTTTAATTCATATTAAAAGGCATCATTAATTAAATCCACAAGAATGTTGTTTTTATTTCAATCTTAAAAATTGTCCTGTATACGGTTGCAAATGACGGTTCTAGACAATCTGTTTCAATCACAAATCTGTGATGGACAGGTACTTGTAAAAAAAAAACCTGGTAACAATGTCTTGTACTGGTATTGTTGGTTTAAATCACTGTTTTGATATTCTTTCTGGAAGCGTGACATGTTACAGCAACCAAAATTATTAGGGTGCAAGGTCATGCAAGTCAATAGTGCATGTGATATGCCTCAACAAAATGTCCGTTTTGAAATACATAATGATCTGGAATTGATGTCCAGACAATATTCTTCATTCTTTTTTTTTCATTCTGCCAATTTTCTTTGTCCACATATGAACCGCACTGGTATATAAGCCGTACGCCACGACTGCTGAGGACAAAAAAAAGCAGCATGGCTTATAACCCAGAAAATAGAGTATGTTTCCCCTTTCCAGGTGACCCAACCAGGGGTCTGGAAAAATATTTTGAACCACTAGGCACAGGGCTGGTGGGATGAAAAATTTACTCATCCAGATTGGAAATTTACTTGTCCAAATTCAGCTATGAAATGGCAACTTAATCAGCGAGGATGAAACATGTGACTTTTTCTCTATTTTTATTTGAAGTTTTCGTGACAAAACTATGCAGTGATGGCTGCTTTGCATCAGACATTGTGCTTGACTTAGGCCTAGCCGTAGTGTTTGTTTACATCCGACTGACTAGGTGCTGTTAAGAACAAGAGCACCTGACATCAGTATGACCGCAGGAAAATGACTAAGGTATTCCGAATGCTATATTTGACGTCATGGGAGTTTCGGTGTAATCAAAAGTTAGAGTGCAGATTGGAATATTTTGTTTTCGAAGTACCATAAACACGTTATTGAAATTGAAGTTGTAACATTAATATCGTTGGAAAAAAGTACTCGTCCGACGGACGACTAACAAAGATAAACCTGGTTGTCCGAGACAATTTTCACTCGTCCATGACAACTGGACAAGTGCTTTTCCGGACCCCTGCCAACATTTTTCAATGGCTTGAAGATAAAAAATGTAGCATATAAATTATGTGACAAATGTACATTGGCCTCCAAAGAGTTGTTCTTTATTGTAAGATAGGAAAAAGCTAGTACTTTGATCTGTAGGATAGCGACAATAAATATTGATTACATTTGTTTTTTCTTTAAAAACTATTGAGGGTAATAAATAACTTAGTTAATTGATAGTAATGAAAGAATCATTTATATGCATTAACCTTTACTTGTGTTTCATGTCCGTGTCACAATTATAAAGTTGATCCTTTCGGTTGATTTTGGACTTCGGCTCATGGTGACCTATTGCCATTATGATTTGTCTGTCGTCGTGCGTTGTGCATCGTTAACTTTTCACATATTCGACTTCTCAAGAACCACTGAATGGATTTTTGACCAAACGTGGCACAAAGCATCCCCATGGGAACTCGCTTCAATTTGCAAAGAAAAAGGGCGTGGCCCCAATAGGGGCCCCAGGAGGGGGGAAAAGGGGGTAAAATTAGGTAAATCTTTAAAGATCTTCTTCTCATGAACCAACAATCAGATTAAGTTCATATTTGATATTTAGTGTCCTTATGGCAAGGTCTACAAAGTTTGTGAATGAAAAAAAATCAGGTCAAAAACAGCCCCACTAGGGGGCGCTCAAAAGGGTAAAAAATTCAACTTTGACCTATTTCAACCAAATTTGGTAGAAAGCATCCCTTAGTGAAGGACATATGAAATTATGTTGAAAAAAGTGATTATGTCCCCTTTGGGGCCCATAAGGGGTGTAAAAGGGGCCATATGTAAAAATCTTCTTTAAATGACTTCTCAAGAATGAGTGGATGGATTTTGACCAAACTAGGCACAAATCATCCCCATGGGAAGCCCCTTCAAGTTTGCGAAGAAAAAGGGCGTGGCTCCAATAGGGGCCCCAGGAGGGGGGAAAAGTGGGTAAAATTAGATAAATCTTAAGAAGTCTTCTTTGCATGAACCAACAGTCAGATTAACCACTAGGTTGATCATGTCTAAACTTGATAAAAATATTCTACACAAGGTCCTGGCAAGTGTTTTAACTTTTTGCGGTGATTCAAAATCCAAAATGGCCACACTGGCCTTTGTTTGGCTAAGACATTTTGGACTTCCTCTCAAGAACCACTGGGTGGATCATGTTCAAACTTGGTACAGATGTTTTACACATGTACCTGCACAAGTGTTGTTACATTTTTGCAACATTTTAAAATCCCCAGATTATTGACATGTATATTCCTCAGGTAACCGTTAAGGCCCCTTGGGCCACTTGTCTATTTTGAGATTTGAGAAGTATCAAATATGATTAAGAGAAATAAAACACTTCTGAATGTATGTGTGATAATGTAGGTATCAGTATGTTCCTGCAGTCCGTTGAAAGCTAATAAAGCCAATTTGAAATGAAGAAGAATCAGTCTTGAGATAGTTTTCACACAAATGTAACAAAATTTTGAGCTTGAAATGCTGTTGGTTTAGTAGATCATGTAAGATGGTTAGTGTGTCAAGTAGTGCGCTTTGTAGATAACATGGACACGCATTTCAAGATGTCAATTTCTTTTGTTTTAGGTTAAAACCAAACATGTCAGCACCACCACCATACCCAGGAAAAGGACAAGGTAAGTTGAGTTCTGGGTGAAAATATGTGATGAAAACTAATTTAATGATAGTTAACCTTGTATGTCCAAATTTTGAATCTCTTGTAATCCATGGTAAGGGAGAATTCACAGTACATAACATGAACTTCAGGTTTGTAAAAGCATTGATAATAGATATCAGTGTTGGGATTTTAACTGTTGAAAATATGGCATTCTTTTAAGATAAATAAGAAAATTGTTTTTTCATTATTGAATAACACTGGGGTATAGTTTATGAAGAAAAATTATTTGTTTCTAAAATTTGACTAGTGTTTAGAAGTAATTTTTTTTGTAAAAGCAATTTTCAGGAGTAATTCTTTGTTCTATGTGTGTTTCTAGAAGCAGGCCAGCCTTATCCTGCTCAGCCTCCACCCCAAGGTAAATATTAATGTTTTGAAATGGCAGAATTGAGGAAGAGTCTTATCCAATAAATAACATGGGAAAAACTTGAGATCTGGATTGAGATGAGATAAGGCCAATGGCGATCATACCTACGTATTGTACTACCTCATTTCTTTTTTCTTATTTCATTTCTAACTGCTTTTACTTAAAGTCTTATCCATTATAACATTTTCAGATATTTGTATTTGTAACAGATTTTCAGGGACTGAGGTATGCAATATTTGTATATACCCAGTATACCACTTCATATTAAAATTTTTGTCAGTAATATTTGCTTTTTTTCCAATACAGGAGGATATGGTCAGCCATATGGAGCCCCACCACCTGCAGGTAAAACAAAGACAATAGCAATTTTTACTATATTTTGTATAATTTTTCATTCCAGTTCATACACTCTTTTAATAGATTGGCCAATTGTACAAGCTTTACTCTAGTATTTTCTCTCTATGACTAGTTGTAGAATTTAACTTTTCTAGTGTTTGCTTCATTAGATATTTATCATAGTAATTTTCAAGCTTAAGGTGAATAGCAAGACAGATTCTACCACAATTTCTATGACATACACAACCCCCCCTTCTTCTCCTTGCACCACCAACTGATATAATCAACGATATTTTGAATTTGAAGGGTAATAAATCATATTACTGTTACAATCATTTGTTTAGGAGTTTGGGTATAATACTGGTTTATGTGTGTATGTGTTTAGCTATAATACTGGTTTATATGTGTAAATGTGTTTGGGTATTATACTGGATTATGTGTATATGTGTTTTGGTATAATACTGGTTGATGTATGTGTTTGGGTATAATACTGGTTTATGTGTATATGTGTTTTGGTATAATACTGGTTGATGTATGTGTTTGGGTATACTACTGGTTGATGTATGTGTTTGGGTATACTACTGGTTGATGTATGTGTTTGGGTATACTACTGGTTGATGTATGTGTTTGGGTATAGTACTGGTTTGTGTATGTGTTTGGGTATAATACTGGTTTATGTGTGTGTTTGGGTATACTACTGGTTTATGTGTATATGTGTTTTGGTATAATACTGGTTGATGTATGTATGTGTTTGGGTATAGTACTGGTTTATGTATGTGTTTGGGTATAATACTGGTTGATGTATGTGTTTGGGTATAATACTGGTTTATGTGTATATGTGTTTTGGTATAATACTGGTTCATGTATGTGTTTGGGTATACTACTGGTTGATGTATGAATGTGTTTGGGTATAGTACTGGTTGATGTATGTGTTTGGGTATAATACTGGTTGATGTATGTGTTTGGGTATAATACTGGTTTATGTGTATATGTGTTTTGGTATAATACTGGTTGATGTATGTGTTTGGGTATACTACTGGTTGATGTATGAATGTGTTTGGGTATACTACTTGTTGATGTATGTGTTTGGGTATAATACTGGTTTATGTGTATATGTGTTTTGGTATACTACTGGTTTATATGTGTAAATGTGTTTGGGTATAGTACTGGTTGATGTATGTGTTTGGGTATAATACTGGTTTATGTGTATATGTGTTTTGGTATACTACTGGTTGATGTATGTGTTTGGGTATACTACTGGTTGATGTATGAATGTGTTTGGGTATAGTACTGGTTGATGTATGTGTTTGGGTATAATACTGGTTTATGTGTATATGTGTTTTGGTATACTACTGGTTGATGTATGTGTTTGGGTATACTACTGGTTGATGTATGAATGTGTTTGGGTATAGTACTGGTTGATGTATGTGTTTGGGTATAATACTGGTTTATGTGTATATGTGTTTTGGTATAATACTGGTTGATGTATGTGTTTGGGTATACTACTGGTTGATGTATGAATGTGTTTGGGTATAGTACTGGTTGATGTATGTGTTTGGGTATAATACTGGTTTATGTGTATATGTGTTTTGGTATAATACTGGTTGATGTATGTGTTTGGGTATACTACTGGTTGATGTATGAATGTGTTTGGGTATAGTACTGGTTGATGTATGTGTTTGGGTATAATACTGGTTTATGTGTATATGTGTTTGGGTATACTACTGGTTGATGTATGTGTTTGGGTATACTACTGGTTGATGTATGAATGTGTTTGGGTATACTACTGGTTGATGTATGTGTTTGGGTATAATACTGGTTTATGTGTGTATGTGTTTTGGTATAATACTGGTTGATGTATGTGTTTGGGTATAATACTGGTTTATGTGTGAATGTGTTTGGGTATAGTACTGGTTTATGTATGTGTTTGGGTATAATACTGGTTTATGTGTATATGTGTTTGGGTATAATACTGGTTTATGTATGTGTTTGGGTATACTACTGGTTGATGTATGTGTTTGGGTATAATACTGGTTTATGTGTATATGTGTTTTGGTATAATACTGGTTGATGCATGTATGTGTTTGGGTATACTACTGGTTGATGTATGTGTTTGGGTATAATACTGGTTTATGTGTATATGTGTTTTGGTATAATACTGGTTGATGTATGTGTTTGGGTATAGTACTGGTTTGTGTATGTGTTTGGGTATAGTACTGGTTTGTGTATGTGTTTGGGTATAGTACTGGTTTATGTATGTGTTTGGGTATAATACTGGTTTATGTATGTGTTTGGGTATAGTACTGGTTTATGTATGTGTTTTGGTATAATACTAGTTTAAGTGTGCAGCTTTTCAGATATATTTCTAGCTTATGTGTATATGCAATGTTGGCCTTTTCAATGGTATGAGACATTCCATTTAATGTTAACATACATGGGAGCATTGCTGGTATATGTTTACTTATCAACATTAAATTTTCAATAAATCAGTAGATTTACAGCATATACCAGATATCAGATACTTGTATCATGTTAAAAGCTCTTGTTGTGCATTACTTTGTGATATGAATGTCAAAAACTAGTGATATACATACCTGGCTTTAAAAAGAAGTATAATTTGTCCAATATATGATATACACATCTCACACACAGATTGATTCTCCATGGAATAGGTATAACCTGCTAGTGTGTTTGTTCACTTTGTTTAGTCTTTTAGCTGTTGTAAATTCTTAAATGCTTTTATATACATTTTTGGGTAAATTCTCTGAATTTCATTCAGAAAGACAAAATATTTAAAATGAAATATCAGTAAGACAAGTTGAATTAAACTTCTTGGAATAAGATGAGGATACAAACAAAAATATTTACTGTAATAGGGAAAAGTTTATTGATGAGACTTTTGAAAGGGAAGGTTATACGTACTGGAATATACTGTTACGCTAATTTGAAAAGGAAACCATACAACAGATATCAGGGGAAAAAAACATACCATACATACTAGAATATACTTTAATGCTGATATCATTCAAACATTTTGTAGAAGAATAACTGATCAAAACAAAAGCAGATATATCATACATCATGAATGTCATTTGTTGAAAGGAAAGGGATTAAAACTGGTATATCTTTTTAAAAGGAAAACATCAGAGAAGGGATCTTTTATCTTGAACAATTTCTGAAATACAGATTTGACATTTATTGAATTAAACAGAAATTGTAATGTGTGTGAATATTTTTTTATATTCAGCTTACCCTGCTCAGCCATATGGACAACCAGGTAAGATTCTAATACTCCTAGACTAATCCTGTATTTTGTAATTTAACTTGTTCTTCGTTTCATGAAGCATGCACTCACTTAAAAAGTAAGTCGTCTTCAGATGAGTTAAGTTTTGGGTCACATGATTAAACAAACTGTGAAGTGAGAGTAAATTAAAATGGGAAACCGTATATCCATATATACATATATATATATATATATAGGAAAATGTATATCCATACAATGGTAATATATTTACATTTATAGACAAAAACATATCTGTACCCCGATCCCATATATCAGTGGAACTTCTCCAAACTGGTCATGCATAGGACATGAATATTTGACTGCTTTAGGGAGGGCATGGTTTTCAGAAGTGAACAAAGTTAACCATTTTGGACTCAGATGTAACATAATTGATTGGACTCTGATCTTTATGAGGGAGGGCACAGTTTGTAGAAGTGATCTTTATGAGGGAGGGCACAGTTTGTAGAAGTGATCTTTATGAGGGAGGGCACAGTTTGTAGAAGTGATCTTTATGAGGGAGGGCACAGTTTGTAGAAGTGATCTTTATTAGGGAGGGCACAGTTTGTAGAAGTGATCTTTATGAGGGAGGGCACAGTTTGTAGATGTGATCTTCATGAGGGAGGGCAAAGTTTGTAGAAGTGATCTTTATGAGGGAGGGCACAGTTTGTAGAAGTGATCTTTATTAGGGAGGGCACAGTTTGTAGAAGTGATCTTTATGAGGGAGGGCACAGTTTGTAGAAGTGATCTTTATGAGGGAGGGCACAGTTTGTAGAAATGATCTTTATTAGGGAGGGCACAGTTTGTAGAAGTGATCTTTATTAGGGAGGGCACAGTTTATAGAAATGAACAAAGTTGACAGTTTCGGACACCGATATAACGTAATTAATTAGATTTTGTTCTTTACATTAACCATAACAACTACCTTCTAAGATATTACTCTATTAATGTTACCATTTTGTTTGAGTTAAAATGATATATTTTTTGACTTGTAAATTACATGTGTAATTGCAGCTCCCTAGTTATGCATAAGTAGATATTTTCACTCTTTCTTCGCCCATACTCGTTTCAGTGAAAATGTTCACTCTTTCTTAGCCCATACTCGCTTCAGTGAAACAAGTTTTTATATGGTTTCATCTTTGATGATTGTTAAATATAATGTGAGATATAATCTTTCAGATCGGGGTAGGCAATGTGTACAAAGCCTGCCTGTGATATGTTCATGCCAAAACTTAACAATTGTCACCTTAGGTGTTGATTTCACTGTTCGCTGGTCAGAATTGTGGTCTTGATAACTCAGGTAATGCTAGTTTTCAGAAGTGATTTTCAGTATATTTCAATCATTTGCAATACAAAAATTGTTTCAGTATTTTTAATTGAGAGAGACCAGTATTTTGTAACTATGATAAAGAGGACATTTTCCACAGAGCCATTTCATTCATTCTCAAGAGGTGATCAGTTTTAAGAAGGATCAGTTTGGGAATTTTCACTGTATACAATTAGAATTGGTCTTTGAGCAAATGTAAAGGTCTACATCCTTTCTTGACACAAATTCAAACAAAGCAGTCTTCCCTATTCCCCCATAAATCTGTCCTTGCATGCTCTGTATGTCACCCCATTTAAGCCTTATATAGACCTGCATTCCCTATCCTTCACAAATCAGACTTATAACTCTTGCAGATCTTCCTTCCTGAATGTATCCCAAAACAGGTATTTAAGCCCTGTAGACCTGCATTACCAAACCCCTCACAATCAGACTTACATACCGTATTGACCTTCCTTCCAGAATGTCTCCCAAACCAGATTTATAAGCCCTGTAGACCTACATTCCCTAGCCCCTCTCAAATCAGACTTAAAGCCCTGTAGACCTTCCTTAATCAAACCTTATAAGCCCAGTATATCTCCAGCCAAATTCTTTCAAAACCAGACCTGATAAACCCTGTTGTCCATCCAACCTAAATCTTAGAGTCTTTAAGTCTTGTAGACCTTCAAACCTAACTCGGACCTAATAATCCCTGTAGACCTACAAACCTAACTCGGGAAATCAGACCTAATAATCCCTGTAGACCTACAAACCTAACTCGGGAAATCAGACCTAATAATCCCTGTAGACCTACAAACCTAACTCAGGAAAACAGACTTAATAAGCCATGTAGACCTACAAACCTAACTCTGGAAATCAGACCTAATAATCCCTGTAGACCTACAAACCTAACTCAGGAAAACAGACTTAATAAGCCATGTAGACCTACAAACCTAACTCGGGAAATCAGACCTAATAATCCCTGTAGACCTACAAACCTAACTCGGGAAATCAGACCTAATAATCCCTGTAGACCTACAAACCTAACTCTGGAAATCAGACCTAATAATCCCTGTAGACCTACAAACCTAACTCAGGAAAACGGACTTAATAAGCCATGTAGACCTTCAAAGCTAACTCTTATAAAATCAGATCTTACAAGCCATGTAAACTTTTTTTTCATTACAACACCTGTCTATATGACATCATCAATTTTAAACATAATATACCCCAACCCACCCCTAACTAATTTAGTAAGACTGGTTAATCTTGACCATGTTTCAATGTTTTAAGGAGGGCATCCATATGGCCAACCAGGTAAGTACATGTTGCATGCTTGTGTTCCTGTAGTGATAATGAAAATGCATTGAAGGCACAATATTCATAAAAAAAAACCACTGATGTCGTTTGATTTGGTATACATAAAATCTGAGTTGGGAAGAAAATAATTTTCAATGTTAACAGTAACATAACAAGTTAACAGCCATTAGACTATGAATAACTTTGAATTAAAGATTTTTTTAAGCAGTTTTATTACCTAGTTCTGTGTGCTGTCATGTTTGTTGTTGAAATGGAAATCCCATTCATATGGTGACTTAAGATCTCAGTAGTAGGAATTTCAAATCCTAGGTTTACTTCAGTGAAGTAAGTGTAAACTGCCTTCAAGTCTGAGTGGATATCAAGAAATTAATGCAGAAGGATTGTATTAACATGTTATATATGCTACACAAGTTATATAAAGCAAATGCAAGTTCAGAATGAAATTCAATGATAAAAGGTTAGCAGGTCTTAGAACAGAAGTAGATAATGCAAAGCAATTTTTATGAAAAAGCATTTAACAAAATCCTAACTTGGCCAGAAATTCCCTTTAAATATCAGTGCAGGTCAAAGATTTAGAGGGAAGCAAAGGAATGTTAACCAAAGACCTGGAAAGTTAAGAGAACTCAAATTGTGACAAAAATTGAAACATTATCTGGTGGTGAAATTCCTTAGGGTAGTCTCTGAAACTGATACAAATTTTAGGTTGACTGATCATCACCCAACAGTAAATACACCCTTGCCAAATGTTTATGTATATGTTTGTAAAAACTGTTTTTATGGAAGCCTAGAATAGATTTGTGTTGTACATAGTTATTCCTGAAGTGTTTGCAAAATATTTATCAAATTTTCATTAACACATAATTAAGTTTTCTGGTTGGTTTTTCATTGTCCAGCAGTTTTCACTATTTCTATGTAAAGCTAACTTTGCAGATATCAAACTTGTAGTAATCAAGAAGAGCATTTTCCTCTGAATCATGTACACATACAGAAGATATATGCAATTTAATTTCAAACACCGACGACAAGATTGGTCAGGTCTGGCACCATTCAGTATGGCTATTAATAGGGATTGGTCGCCCATACAAATGTAACGAAGGATGTCACTTAGCAGTTTTGGATAAATTGGGAAAGCAAATAGGAATTTTATCTAGAATTAAACAAAAAATACAGAAAATATTTATTCTCATTGTGTTCCATTTTAATGAGTACAATGTCACTTGGTACAAACAAATGAATGAAATACAATGAATGCTTTTCTATTGGTTACAAATTACAATATGTAATTCCTGCTCTGCATTGGCAAAAATATGACATGTTTAAAATTAGAAAAATTACATGAAAATTTATTATGTGTGAGCAAACAAAAAAATCTTGTATAGTATTTGTAAATTTCAGAGATAGCAGTTCCGTCCATTATACTAACATTGACTTATTGATCATTGTTCTTTTCAGTTTTATATAATAAGCCCACCATGTTGACAGTGGTAAATCAAATCACTCTATATCCATGATCTGTCATCCATTTGTTTATCTGTCTGTGAACATTTCTTGTTGTTGCTATTTCTGGGGAAGAATTTAATGCATCAATCTATCTGATATGTTATAAGTAGGTTTCCCTTGGTCCCTAGTTTGGTTGTTTGATTTGGAGGCTGTGCTCAATAACAAAATTGATTTTGACAATGAATTGTTGATATCCTTGTTTCTTGATATTCTAGATAAATAAAAAATAATAAATCTTTTTCAAATTTCATGTTTAGGTTTCCCTTGATCCGTAGATGTGTCACTGGTTAGAGAAATGAAATGGCTGACAAATAGCCATCTTGGATTTTGATGATGAAAGTTTGTTAGGTTCTCTCATGAAGAATTGTATGGATCTTACTAAAATTTCATGTGTAGATTCCCTTTGACCCCTTGTTGTGTTCTCATGATCCTGGGATTGATCAGAAAAGCAAAATGGGTGACAGATGACAATCAGGTCTTTTAAATTTCATGTCATGAAGAGCAAAAGATCCAACTTGAAAAGAATAAATAAAGATTAAAAAAATTGCATGGTACAAAGATCTTATTGGATCTCTTGTTGATCTTGTCTGGACATCCTTTTTTTCAGTTTTAGACCAATTTCTTTCAGATGTAGTAGGCTTTTCTATAATGACATGAAATTGCATATACTTTCTCATTGACATTTTGATTAGACAGGTATTTAATGTTACATATTATTAGCCAGGAAAGCTTCTTGTTATCGTTACTCCTCTGAAAGGTGTAATTGATGTACTTTTTGACGAGCATTGTATTGTACTGTTTTACTCCTTGAAGCTCCCTATGGACAACCAGGTAAATATCACGAGATATTGTGAATTGTATACATTAAGGTTTATTGTTTTGTTGACTAGAGGTGACTATTGTTGAATAATTGAGTTTACTAGCTCTACTTTTAAGTCCTGGATGACAAATTGTTGTTCTTTTTACCAGTGATGGGTTTGTATAGTGCCTTAGGCTAGGTGCTATATTTTGGAAGTGTTATACATGTAGTAGACTGATATTTCTGTTAAAATTTGTTAAAATTTATTAATAAAGAATAATTGAATGTCAGAAGACACAAGCAAAAAATAATTATGCACTCAGCAAATATTAGGTGTAGTAAATATTTGCTGTTTTGTCCATTTTTTGTCTATCCATCTGTCCCTCTTTCCATTTGTTTTGTTTTTTTTTTGTGTGTTTTTTTTATTTTGTGTGTGTCTGGAACATCACTTTGCCCACAGTTAAGCAGGATAATGAAACTTGGTATGCACACTATTTACATGAAAGCGATGTACAATGTACTAAATTCAAGGCCTATACTTTCTTGTTTACAGTTATTTCCCTTTATTAAAATTTCATGTCGGGAGCATAACTTGGCTTTCATTTAAACAAGGATATTGAAACTTGGTGTTTGCATTTGTCATAATAAGACAATGTGCAGTGTACCAAAGTCAGGGTCCATAACCCCTTAATAACAGAATTATTAACTTTTGTTAAGCCTCCAATAAAGTTGTTTTCATGAGCATTCATCAGTTCCACTGATACTCATGTTTACAATGTGAAGATAAAGTAGTGTTTAGTGTCATGCTGTAGGACTTTGTTTCATATATAGTATTTGATGTTGTTTGTCTCCATGAGTGTGATACACTAGCTACATTTGCATATAGGGATTTGTGATATATAGATGATACATGATCAAGATCATAAAATATAAGCTGTATTTGGCAAAAGTGAAAAAAGTCATTTATTGAAAATCATACAATTAGTACTTCAGCAGAAATATAGTTCCACACTTTAATGGATATGACAGCGATTGTATGAATTTTCATAAATGAACTTGTTCATTACAACATGTAAAATCGCTTATTTCAACAGTATTTATACTGTTAAACATCTTTTAGATAAATTCAGAAAAGTAATTATGTCAAATTAATGCACGTGCTAAAATACAGCTGTAGTCCTGCACTGCCGAATACAGCAAATATATATGTGGCATGTGTATTCAGGCAATGGCAGTGGACGTTGCAGGATTAAAGAAAGAACAAAAGAATTCAACTAACAATAACTAATGTAAAGAAAGCTATATGAGAACACATTGAATACTGTATTTCTTTCGTTTCATTTGAAATATATATAAGGCACAATTTTCAAATGTGATACAGCTAAAATTAGATGATAGTGTTTTTCAAATGTCTAGCTGAGGTTTAAATTATTTTCATGAATTACATTTATGAATTTATGATTTGGTAGTCTATTTAAACCATCTAGGTAAGATACTGAATTTGTGTTGCTGCATGGTTGATAATCACAAGATTCTGTATTTAGACTGATTACTAGTATATGTGGTGCAGGCCTATTTGACAGACTGCTGAGTGCAAGTACAGTTTATCAGTAATATACAGTGTAACACAGAGTGCCTCCCCATGGAATATCAGCTACCATCCTCCAACAACATTGCTTGACATTATAAAATATTGATATACTACAATTTGGACAAAATGTTCAGGAGTGCTCACATTACAATTGTGAGTGTAATGCATGATATTGAGGAATTAGGATTGTGTATTGTACCATCAATATTGCTTACAGTGTCCTTCCTATACAGGTGAACAGAATCTCCTATGTCATTAAAGATGGTAATATCCAGACAGATTTCGTAAACAGAATGTCCAATAGATGTATGCTAACCAGTAATATACTTTTATTTCATCTAATAATGCAACATGATACAAGTACAAACATGGCTTATGACTGGGATGTCTTTATTTGGACTTTCACCAGGTACAAACCTAGCTTATGACTGGGATGTCTTTATTTGGACTTTCACCAGGTACAAACATAGCTTATGATGGGGAATGTCTTTATTTGAACTTTCACCAGGCACAAACATAGCTTATGACTGGGATGTCTTTATTTGGACTTTCACCAGGTACAAACATAGCTTATGACTGGGATGTCTTTATTTGGACTTTCACCAGGTACAAACATAGCTTATGACTGGGATGTCTTTATTTGGACTTTCACCAGGTACAAACCTAGCTTATGACAGGGAATGTCTTTATTTGGACTTTCACCAGGTACAAACATAGCTTATGACTGGGATGTCTTTATTTGGACTTTCACTTGTTGCAATGTAGCTTAATGAATATGATGTCTTTACATTCATCAATCAACTTTCCCCCATATTGTATGCTGTCAAAGTTTACTTATGTTTCCATGTTTGTCAATAAATGATTGACTGCACTTAGTGTGGTTTTACTCCTCAATTCCATTGAACATATTTGGAGAGATGAAGTGCTAGATGACATCAAACCTTATTATTATTCTACCTCCTGACTGTTCAAAATAAAATGATCCTGTGCACCTCAGATAGTGTTAATGAGTTTTATTGATGGAGGTATTTGAAAAAAAGACAACTCTTTTCAAAATATTCAATATGCTTACCTCCTAATCTACAAGTTATGTACTTGGGAAAATAGCAATAGGGTTAATAATATCAAGTGCAATTTACAGCCTGCTTATAGTCAGATGCATGGAAAAGAGGTGTGGAACGGTTAACCAAAAATGTTTGAAGCAGTCGCCCCCATGTTACTATAATCCCATGCTTTTTTGTTGCTTGATAACAAGTTTTGTATGCAGAGACATTTTCTAGTTTCAGCAATCAGTGTGTAAATTAAATTAAAGAATAATTGTTGAAGTTAGCATAAAATATTTTTTTACCTTCACTTTTAATTTTTTGAAAGTGTAAGCTTAAGTGTTTTGAAAAAATGAAAATTGTTAGGTGTTTCAATGTTTGAACTGTTATGAACATATTGAGTAGTGTTAAGCCTGATTACCGGGTAGGGTATCAAATGAATTTCTACACATTATTGCTAATAAGTTTCTTGATGCATTTTTTCCATAGTGCTATCTTTAACAGTTTTTTTATATGACTGTATGTGAACACTCAAAATGATTCATATTGTCCTAGTCACAATTACACTTTTCATTATGTGATATCAATATTCCTATCCATCATGCAGATTTGTCCATGGAAGAATTCTTGCATCTATGACTCTTGTCATATTAAAAGCTCTGCACAAGTGTTTGCCCTACCATTTTGATACACATCATATCTTTTGAAGAGTTCAAGGTGTTTGTTATTTGAAGTGCATAGATATTTTAGTTAGTGCATAGAAATGTATGTTATAATCAACATTTTCTTTGAGGACATTGGAGTTTCTGAAATGTTTAAGTTCCGGTTAGACAGGCCAAACAAGCATATCTGGGGTAAGAGTTCTCCACTATTATCCAGTTGGCAAGTACCCTTTATTTTCATGTTGTAGGTCAGCCTGGGTACCCCCAACAGCAGGGCCAGACCACTGTCGTGGTGGCTCAGCCAGCTGTAACTGTAGTGCAGCAGTTCCGCGAGTCTCCAGTCCATACTCGCTGCCCCCATTGTCAAGCTGAGGTGGTCACTGCTACTCAATTCGAGACCGGTACATTCACTTGGATCATCTGCCTTGTTCTGTGCATCGTTGGGTAAGTCTTCAGTGAAGTTTTCATTTCTGTTGTTTAAACCAGTCTTTTTAGCCCATCACCATTAGATGGTAGGTTTTTATCTTATTTTGCTATTTTGATTTTAGGACTGATCAGGAATGGCTTATATAGGCAGCTGTTGTAGATATTCACACCAAAGTTTGTTATTGATATTTCTTTTGAAATATTGGTAGGGATCTTTCTCAAATATACTACTCTTGTAAACTTACTCTCTTGTAAATAAAAGAGCAAAAGCAGAGAAAAGAAGAGAAAAGATCCCAATTTTAAAGAACAAATAAAGATCAAACCTTCGTGGGTGCCACTAAAAAAGGGAAAAAGAAAAATTGTTCAGGACATAATGTAATTTGATTTCTTAGAAAACAATAATGTAAATAACTTCTCTGACAAAATGTTTGGCATTGTAGGCAAAAAATCATTCACAAAGTTATACATGTCCTTTATTTAATCTCAGTGGACACATGCATCATGCCAAAGTTGTGGGCTCCTGGGTTACATGACCACTTGGATTTTCCCCCAGGTACTTTGGTTTTAATAAGACCCCTTGTGCACTTTCATGTGGGACAACAAGAGTGATTAACACACGTTTTAATGACTTCCTTTCATCACAATTGTTGAAAAATAAAAGAATATGTATCATGTGTTATTGTTTTGGTACGTTAATGTTTTGGGTGTCCTGTAAGGGTCAAAGTTTTATTTTGCTAAGGTTGCAAATAGAGGTAAAATGTTCTAAGAGAGTTTGAAGAAGTTCTTTGAACACAGCATTATATCTGAAACACTTGAACTTTTACTTCGCTAATTTCAAATTAATGTTGAATCATTCCTCAAAGAAATTAAGTCAGGAGTGCTTTAGAAAATACTGAACATGTGCTCTCAAGAAATTCAGGGATGTTTCAGATATGGTTAGGAGAGAAATTAAGTGGTTACTGTAAAATTTTGCATGTACTTCCAGTCTTGGTGACTAACACTTCTGTTGAACATGTGGGAGGCTGATTGCTTGATCCTTTATGTACGGTCGGCATGTACTTACATAGAGCCAGTAGCTTTGGTATATTGTCCTCGTACCATTAGTTGGTACAAGTATCTCAAATTTTAATAAGTTTGCATGCTGCATGTTTTCAAATATTTTGTATGATTGTTTTGTAGACACCACAATTCATTGAAAATTTGTTTGATTTGACATTTCGTCGATGTATCCTATGTCATATCTACAGTATCAGAAAACCGGTGCCTCGTGAATTTTATTTGCAAGTTTTCGTGTCTATGATTTGAATGTGTCCTGCCAGACTGAAAGGAGACAGGTTGGGATGGTAAGCATGAAGTATAACTATTATTATGACATCTTGTTTGATTATTCATTTGATTTACTGTATTTATCCAGCAAAAAGTCTGGCCTGCTAATAAGTCCTCCCATATTTATTCACAATTTTAATAGAAGCAACAAGAATGCCTCTTCATTGTCCTGTAATAAGCTCGCCCCTGACTTTAAGTCAGTGGTAATGAGTTGGCCAATGTGACTTAATGCAGGATGGATACATTATTCAAGCTTTGATGTCCGTTTAGGGTATATTGTTCCATACCATTGGTACAAATCCAGCAACAGTCAAAAAAGTGTCTCTGTATTCTCTCCCAGCAATTTTCAGATCACCTGGTCCAAAGGACCAATAAGCTTATGCAGCTGTCCGTTGTTTGTCTGTCGTCTGTCCATCATTTTTTTTAACTTTTTTCTACAAATGCCTACTAGTCATAGCAACTAAGCAGATTTGGACAAAATTTGATCAGAAGCTCCCTTGGGAGAAGCACAGTAAATTTTGTATAAATATTAGATCTGGATCACTTGGGGTGGAATCCTTCTCCTTCTCTAGGAATGATTGAATTTTGCCCAAATTTGGACAGGAGCATTCTTTGGCAATTAATTATGTATAAATGGTTGGTCTTTACTCCCAGGGACGGGAGGGACTGAGCCCAATAGGGAAAATAGAGCTAATTTTTTAACATTCTATTCCTAAAGGAGTGATGTGATTTTGCCCAAATTTGGTTTTAAAGACTTTATGGGTTAAGGGGAATCAATTCATATAAACAGTGGGTACAGCTGCTGGAACAGATGAGGTAGGGCAGGGCAGATAGACATAATGAGTGTTGTGTGCTTGAAAATTTAGTATTGCTTTTTCCTTTTAGTTTGGATGAAGCAGTTTCAGCCAAATAAAGCCAGATGAACAATACTGACCCTTTTGGCCTCTTGTTTTTATGTGCTTTGGTACTTATTTTTTTCCTTATGAATAATGATCATTGTGTCAGCAAATGATCTTTTCTATGCCACAACCCATTGGTCCGGAATGATACAGTGTTAACAGAAAACAGAAACAATTAAATGTTCATGCATTAAATGAATAATATTATTTAACAAACACTATACACAATACTACCTTACATTTTGTTTTGCAGTCTGATCCATATGTACACAATCATACAAATAAATAGATACCAATTAACCACACAGCATTACAAAACAGGAAAGGCTATTTAACATAACTTGATAATTCTCTTAGTATGTGAAAGAAAAAGGCTATTGTAACACGTTTACTTAATTCAAAAGCACATTTTTAGCCCAACATCATCAGGTGGTGGACTTTTCAAAATGCCCTGCGTCTATGGTCCATGGTCTGTCCATTTATGATCAATTTTTGTTATTGCCATTTCTTGAGAAGTACTGGATGGATCTTCCTCAAATTTCATTTGAAAATTCCCCTTGGTCCCTAGTTGTGCTTGTTTGATTTTCGGGCTGTTCAGAAAAACAAAGGGGCTGACAGGCAGCTATTTTGGATTTCAACTAGTAAAGTTTGTAATTACCATTTCTTAAGAAGTACTGAAAGGATTTCTGTCAAATTTCATGTGTAGGTTCCCCTTGGTCCCTAGTTTTGACCATTTTGGGGATGATCAATAAAGCAAAATGGTGACCATCTTGGATTTGTCAGTTAAAGATTATTATTGCTATTATTGCAAAGGAGTGAAGTTCAAACTTATTTACAAGTCAGTTGTTGCAAGTGCAAACCAATCAGATATCTCATTATTTGAAACCTTTGGTCAATGCAACTTACATCAATTGCAAGGCAATTACAAGATAGGCCTAAATCTACCTCATTACAGGAGCTACCCAAAATATCAAGGAGAACATTAAACCTGAAAATAAAACTTTTCAAAAGCAACATTATCTGTTTATAAGTGATTTTATCAAACTAATCAACATTGGTAATTTGGGGCAATAAGAATGAGTCTTAAAATGGATGGAGAGAGGGAGAAAGGTTGCCGAATTCCAGTACTTAATGTAATGGGTATCAGCATAAACGCATGCCTAACATTAATTAAGAAGCGCACAACAAAATGGCCAGGGGAGAATGCTGGGTGATTGTTGCTTATTAATGGTAGAACCTTGCATGAGTTTCCTTAGAAGATTTTAAAAATGTTTTTAATACTTTCATTTTGTTAAGGTAGAATGACAAAGTTTCATAAACCTCTCATCATGTTAATATAGAAACAAATTTTTGATAATTTCAGATTTTTGTCATACGATTAAAATTTTTCAAAATTATTACTGAAAGCAGGGTATTATCTTAAAGTGTATGACATTTTTTTATGAATAACACAAATTTATACACAAAATTATGACAATGTGTTAGTTTATTAACTCATCACTGATGAAACCAAATTCTGCAATACAGTGAAACTCATCTACACAAATCGTTGATGCATGACAGCTCCACAGCTTCATTTAATAGCATCTGCTTTTAAGATTAAGCAACCAATGAAAAATGACAGGATTACTTCCCATTATGATGTAATGAAATGTTTCATGTATGTGAAAATATAATCAATAAGTTCAGTGTTTATTGATTTATTACTTAAGCTTTATGATATATGTTGATTGATTTAGCATTTTAAGGAGAGGCAGTTGTCTTTAGTTGGATTTAGCTAGAAAGGTGTAAGCTTTCAAACATTGTTTAAACTCAAGCATGCTGGTGAGCAACATGTAAGGTTCGGAATTATTCCTTTTACATAATGATAGCAAAAGATATTTCAGAAGTAGATTGTACTGTTGTTGTTTTTTCAAGTAATTGGGAATACTTTGTCTGGGGCATGCTCTTGTTCTTACTAGATTTTTTTTGTCATGTAACAATTTTTGTTATTGCTATTTCTTGAGAAGCACTGGATGGATCTGTTTCAAATTTCATAGCAAACAGATGGCCATCTTGGATTTTGACTTTTGAAACTTTGTTATCGCTATTGTTATTGTTTTTTGTGAAATGCTGTGTAGATCTTCACAAATTTCATGTATAGGTTCCTATTGGTTCCTAGTTGTGCCAGTTTGAATTTGGGACTGATCAGAAAAACAAAGTGACCAACATGCTACCATCTTTTTATTTTGACTTCAAAATTTTTTTACCACTATTTCTTGAGAAATACTGAATGGATTTCTCTGAGATAATTTCATACAGATGTTCTCTTTGGTCTCTGCTTTGGCTTGTTTGATTTTGGGACTGATCAGTAGAAACAAAATGGCTTCCAGGCAACCATTTTGGATTTGGCAGGGAAAGATTATCATTGCTATTTCTGCAAAGGAATGTTCAAGAGAAGAGAGAAGAAGGGAAAACATTTTCAAAGAGCACCTAAATATCAAAGAACGATGGGCGCCAAGATCTCTCTGGGATCTCTTGTTAGACATTATATAGAAGGCATGGAAATCTGTTCATCCCTCCATTGTAAAATCTGTCCTTACAACTCCTGAATTTGTAAACCAAGTTCATTGAAACTGCAAAGGAATGTAAGGGACCATGTAAAGAAGTGCTTGCAGGGTTATTTTTCCAGCAAAAAATTGCCTTGGTACCCATGTCACTAAACACTGATTCTTGTAAAATGGCCAACACCTCATTAGTCCTTGGATCAGATTTAACAACCTTCATCAAATATTATTACTGATAGTGTAACATTTGGTAATATTGAGATATTGTATAACTGAGACTGTAGCATTTAGACAGTGTGTTATTGAGAATGTAACATCTAGACAGTGTGTTACTGAGACTAACATCCAGGCAGTGTGTTACTGAGGCTGTAACATCTAGACAGTGTGTTACTGAGACTGTAACATCTAGGCAATGTGTTACTGAGACTGTAACATCTAGACAGTGTGTTATGGATACTAACATCTAGGCAGTGTGTTACTGAGGCTGTAACATCTAGACAGTGTGTTATGGAGACTGTAACATCTAGACAGTGTGTTATGGAGACTGTAAAATCTAGACAGTGCGTTACTGAGACTGTAACATCTAGACGGTATGTTACTGAGACTGTAACATCTAGACAGTATGTTACTGAGACTGTAACATCTAGACAGTGTGTTACTGAGACTGTAACATCTAGATGGTAGGTTACTGAGACTGTTACATCTAGACAGTGTGTTATGGATACTAACATCTAGGCAGTGTGTTACTGAGGCTGTAACATCTAGACAGTGTGCTACTGAGGCTGTAACATCTAGACAGTGTGTTATGGAGACTTCAACATCTAGACAGTATTTCTGAGATGTTGGTTTAATTTTATATGAACAATTATTACTTTCTTAATATATTACTTATTTTTACCTCATTGAGAAGTAGTTATGTAGATCAAAGTAACAAAACTTGATTGCTTTACCTTTAATATTTACAGCTAAATGATAGCTAACTCCCAGGTCTGTAGATTTTAATTGTGATGTATAATTTTTTTCCAGTCCTGCTGACCTTAACTGTGATATATAACTTTGTTCCAGTCCTGCTGTCCATAACTGTGATGCCTTTGCTTTTTTAGATGCATACCTTGCTGTGTTATCCCATTCTGTGTTGATGGGTGTAAAGATGTCATCCACATCTGTCCTAGCTGTCAACAGACCGTTAGCCGTTACCGCCGTATGTAGAATGAACAGACTTGTTAGATGGTCATGATGGCTTGGATCAGGATGAAGATTTTTGTGTGTCGGATTTGGAGTCAGGATACCACTATCATATGTTTATCTAATATCTACACAAGGATGTGTTAGGACTACAAAGGATGAATTGATGTGATTCGCACCAGATTTCTCCATCAATTTCAATACTTATATAGATATATGTGAAAATTGAGCATACTATATATATATACTATTATGTAACATGAAATGTTACTTGCATAGATATATGTGAAAATTGAGCGTACTATATATACTATTATATAACATGAAATGTTGTTTGGTACTGTCTTTCGTGGTTAAAAACCTGAGACATCATTTCAAGGGTAAAAATGGTATACACATAATTCTTTTAGCTGAGATCTTATTTGTCATATTTATGTTCAAGGTTTTTCTATGGTCTAGAAAACAAAGTTACTCCTATAATATTTCATGTTATATAGTATAAATGTGGTACATGTCAACCTCTCTCAATGGTAGTTAAGGCTTAGTTGTTTATAGTGGTCAGAATATGTGTATATTGTTTTATTTAATCGTTGTTTTAAAAAAATGATTACAAGTAAGAGATGTAAATTTATTCAATGAGCTACACTTCTTAACTATGAAGTCTAGAGTTGTGCATTTAAAGTTACCTGATGCTAGTTTGATAGGTTGATATGTATACACACATGTATGTACTTAATATTGAAAACAAAACTTCAGCATTATCACATAGGAAGGAAGATCAACATGTTACATTGACTATTGTTCAAATGATGTTGATAAACAGTAAATAAACTGAAAGAAAACCAAAAATTAAAAATCTGGAGGAAAGAAGGAAAAACCAGAATGATATGATGTTGATGCGGTATTTTAAATGGGCAATACATTTTTGGTTTTGTGAAAGTAGTTGACATTTTGCCCTTTGATGATGGACCAGCCAATCACAATTCAGACACGTAAGTACTAAGGGTACTACTGTAAGAAGTGAATTTAAAGATTAGAAATGAGCAAGAGATATGATTAAAGAGGATGGAGATAGGAGATAAGTTGTGCCTCAAATAATATATAATTGATATTGGAACTACCCGATAGATCCTAAATATTAGATGTTGTATCTGTTTATATATGATATGTAAATATCAGATCTCCCATCATCTCACTAACAATGATATCCATAAACACTTCATAGTTTTCTGGCTAAGAAATTTGTCTTCAGCTAAGGGAGAGGGGGGAGGTGTTTGTCATTTCACAATATATTAATATATCCAAATTGTCATGGGTTTGTAGGTGTATTAAAACAATATAATTTCATATATATTAGCATTTGACACCAAATTTGGCTGAGCTGTGAGGTACCAATATATTTAGTCTACATGTAAATTTTTGTTGGAGATACCTAAACTGCAGCCATCATCACACATTCAACCAGAGGTCTTGGGTTATGTCTTTCCTCAGAAGTGCTTATAGATATTTTCTTATATCATGTATGTTTGTATTTTACTCATGTTGTCTTTAGTGGTTTGGTCTCCTTTTTTTTAAATTTCAATAAAACAGAACTCGGTACTCAAAGGAATTCATCAGGTTACCTAATAGTTTCTCTATTAGGAAACAAGGAGAATTTGTTCGTAGGTTTGTATCTTGAAGACTTGGGAGTAGACACCTAAAAAAAAAAACCACGCACACGAAGGATATAATGCAAATTTAGAATAAAATACAATATAGACAAAAAATTAATTGACTGCATCATACAGCAGTTTCATCCTTCTACGTCTCATCAGTGGTGTTAGGGACCCAAGAATTAGGAGGTAACAAAGGAAAAAATGGCTGAAATAATAGTACACAACACCAACTCAGCAGACACCACCACCCCTCTCTCTTTTTTTTTTTTTTTAGCTAAGGAGATGGGATGCTTTTTGATGTTGAGAATTTTATTAGGCTGTATATACACCGGTGTTAAAACATTGTCAAACATCACACTTAACAGATATACCAGTGTTACATCACTGTCAGACATCACACGTAACAGATATACCAGTGTTACATCACTGTCAGACATCACACGTAACAGATATACCAGTGTTACATCACTGTCAGACATCACACATAACATATATACCAGTGTTAAATCACTGTCAGACATCACACGTAACAGATATACCAGTGTTAAATCACTGTCAGACATCACACGTAACAGATATACCAGTGTTACATCACTGTCAGACATCACACATAACAGATATACCAGTGTTAAATCACTGTCAGACATCACACATAACAGATATACCAGTGGTAAACATCACACATAACAGATATACCAGTGTTACATCACTGTCAGACATCACACATAACAGATATACCAGTGTTACATCACTGTCAGACATCACACGTAACAGATATACCAGTGTTACATTACTGTCAGACATCACACATAACAGATATACCAGTGTTACATCACTGTCAGACATCACACATAACAGATATACCAGTGTTACATCACTGTCAGACATCACACATAACAGATATACCAGTGTTAAATTACTGTCAGACATCACACATAACAGATATACCAGTGTTAAATCACTGTCAGACATCGCTCATAACAGATATACCAGTGTTACATCACTGTCAGACATCACACATAACAGATATACCAGTGTTACATTACTGTCAGACATCACACGTAACAGATATACCAGTGTTAAATCACTGTCAGACATCACACATAACAGATATACCAGTGTTAAATCACTGTCAGACATCACACATAACAGATATACCAGTGTTACATCACTGTCAGACATCACACATAACAGATATACCAGTGTTAAATTACTGTCAGACATCACACTTAACAGATATACCAGTGTTACATCACTATCAGACGTATTGTCATATTATTTACAGATTTTAGAAAGTGTGGCCATCTAACATAATAAGCTGTATTTCGCTTAATAGACATGTCCATATTGATTTTGTTTTTAGATATACTGGTGTTGTGAAAGTTATCCTTAATGGACGACACTCCTATATCAATTGTCTTGTCATTATCAGACTTAATGTAAGAGTGTTGTTGAATCACAAATAAATATCACACTTACCAAAGAACTGTAACCTTTTTTATTTTGACGTTACCAATCTCATGCTTTTTATGCGCCCGTCGAAAGACGGATGTATTATTGTATGGCACTGTCCGTCCGGCGTCCATCATAAACTTTTATTTGTCCGGAGATCTCCTACATTTTTCAGCCGATCTTTATGAAACTTGGTAGGCTTAGTCATCATGATATGAAATTGTGTTTTCCTGAATGGGGTTTTGATTAGACGATTTGAATAGGAGTTATGTCCCTTTGTTTTTTTCACTATAGAAATCTTGTCCAGAGATCTCCTCCAACATTTTTCAGTCGATCTTTATGAAACTTGTTAGGCTTAATCACCATGATATGAAATTGTGTTTTCCTGAACAGGGTTTTGATAAGACAATTTGAATAAGAGTTATGCCCCTTCGCTGTTTTGGATATTCACGGGCGTATTTTGTTCCGCTTTGTGGTACTCTTGTTATCTGTAGAATGTCCTCCAGACTTTCCATCATATTAACTAGTACGATATGGGTGGGTTAGTTTAGGGAGCATAATATTTCGCATTCTGGGGGTAAAGAACTTGATGTCTGACTAACGATTGTGCCATTATAGATTGAGTTTTAGCTTTTTGCTGTATCTTACACCTATGTAAGTACGTCAGTCACAAATGGTCAACAGATTTACTTGATTTGGCTTGGGATAATCCATTTCAAGAGAGACCAAACATTGGGGCAAAGTTCGCAAAATCATTTTTAGCGACATTAATTTCTACTTTTCAACAAATTTTCGCATTTCAAAATAACTTGCTAAAATAGCATGTTAAAATAATCAGCTGTATGGTATTCATTTATAATGCTCATTCATGAAGTTGTTGGCAATACTCTTTTCACTTTGCATTATTTTGTTGCAAAATGTCAGGTATGTAAATATCTCTTAAGGTGTTTCAGGAACATAGATTTAAGGTGATGTTATATACATGTAGAAAATGTCATTTGTATGCTGACCTAGATCATCACAATATTACCAGAAAATTTTTTTCATTATTATACAGGTCTTATTTTTCTGGTGTGGATGAAAATTTGTTTTACATTCAAAATACAAGTTGAGGGTCGAATGGCATACAGCAGAAATTAGGCATTCAGAAGTTATACTGTTATACAACATCTGTTGTGATGTAACATTAGCATATGTTATAAATATATAAATAATTGAGGTTTTTAATTAGTAATCCAAGTAAACATGAATTGTGTTTGTAGGTGTATTAAAGCCGTCTTATTAAGGGGAAAACTTGGCTTTACCCTTTCGTCTGTTTTCATCATGTGTTTAACTTAATATTGTTTACATCTTTATCATGTGAGTATTTTCAATTAAACAATTTCTTATATCCTCTGTATGTTTGTGTGATATTTTATTACAGTTCAGATAATCTTTTAGTGATTTTAAGTGACCTTCAAATGAGCAAAAAAGTGATAGCAATGAAATCCAGCTGATTTTATGTATCTATCGGAATGAAGGAAAACATGCAGTGGTATTAATACTTTGTTGTTTTAATGAGTTTACTGTCAAATCATTAACTATGTATTTATGAAACTGTAATAATTACCAACATAGTTACAGCAACTTTAAAAGGCTTTTCAATTAGCTTGATCTTAATCTTTTGGTACAAAAATTAATTTTCAAGTAATGAAATATTCCTTAATTCACAGGCTATTCATTGGACGTTTTCTTTCCAGAATATTTGTTGTCATGATTTTACTGACAAAAGGAATTGGGCAACAGGCATAGCCTATAAAAGCCCTCTCCTTGCTGTTATAAACACACATCAGTCAAATAATAAATGTATACAGTGATAAATACTTACAATTTTAGTGGTGCATGTAATGATATCATTCAATGACTTGAGACAAAAGTTGGTCTGAAACGCATGGAAAGCAGCAAAGGCAAATTGCCCATACATATTCACGGTCCTTTGCTGAATCCATACAGATAACAAGCAGACAAAAGTCGGACAACAATTTATGAACAGAATATTGATGTCCGGTATCGGCAATGAATCTCGAAATCAATTCAAGAGTCCAATTATTCGTAACTGTATCAAGCTCATGACAACCATTTAGAAATGTTCAAATGTTTAGAGGAATAGGGTTGCTCAGGTCAGAAAGAGAAGTAGAAAAGAGTTGTCTCATTATTCATTGCATTGCAGGTTAACGGTCACTGTGACTACACTTATTTGCATGAGCAATCCAACCACAGCATAATATCCAAACCAGTTTAAATCTCACATCTTCTGAAATAAATTGGTTGTGAACTATACATGAATGAACTATGTATTCAATAGAAAAATCATTAAAGGCTTGTACATTCTAGTGAGATGTGCCTGCACTCACTTATTACCTTAATTCTTTACAGAACTGTAAAACCATGTTAATTATAACTGTAAGTAAATCTTACCTATCACGGATGTAAACCTTGTCTATCAGGGATGTAAACCTTGTGTATAAGGGACATGTACAATGTCTATCAGGGATGTAAACCTTGTGTATAAGGGACATACACAATGTCTATCAGGGATGTAAACCTTGTGTATAAGGGACATACACAATGTCTATCAGGGATGTAAACCTTGTGTATAAGGGACATATAGGGTTCAGTAGCTGGAATGGAGGGCTACTAAAGTGCTTAGTTTGTGAAAATCTTCAAACAGTCTTCAATATTTTCACTTGAAACATAAATGATGAAAATAAACTACCAAAGACTGTAAAACTTGTCAGGGCCAAAATATTAAAGGATGTGACAAGGAGTGTTGTGATGATTGATGTAAAGTTATGACAAGGGGCGGTTTAACACCTTTAGGGGCCAAACTAACAATGGATGTGACAAGTGTGACAAGAGATGTGACATCTGTTATCAGTATAAAGATTTCATTGATGTGTATCTTATGAAATATGTTTGTGTGTTGACAGATGCGACCTCGGCTGTTGTTTCATCCCCTTCTGTGTGGATGGCTGCAAAGATGTGACCCACAGCTGCCCCAACTGCAAGACTGTTATCAGCAGATACAACCGTATGTAGGTCCTTGCTGTGTGACACACTGCCCATCTGACCGGTGATGACTTGGCAGTTTAAGGCCACCTGTATACAAGGGACAATAGTTTTCTACCCTGTGATGCCTAAAATGTTTGTAATTACCACTAATCAGAAATGTAGATAAAAAATAAGTGTAGTGTTGTTAAAAATCTTCTTTTGTTTGCCATGTTAAATGTGGACAAAATTGACCTGTTGTTGTAATTATTTTGGGGTCATAAAGGAAATTTATTTGTTTAAAGATCAGTTCATATACATATATTAACACTTTATATTACATACCAGAGAAGCATATCAAATGTGACTGTTTCATATTAAAAATATAACACAATTTAACATTAAATGATGAAGAATCAATATATCTGTTCTTGCCCTTTAAAGATGGAACTTTTCATAGTTAGCTATTGAACCGTGATCTACTGTTATTTATATGATTAGTTGATTGATCAAGATGAAATTTCTACAACTGTCGAACATGTGCAGTGGAACTTCATTGATCTCTTTTAATCTTTATTTAGATTCAGGTACTTGGTAGTTACTAGTCTTGGTAGTTACTAGTCTTGGTAGTTACTAGTCTTGGTAATTACTAGTCTCTTAATTGATAGTCAGTAAATTGACTGGATTTTTCTTGGCTTGTAACAAGAATTTCCACTTTGCTGAATATCACTGGAAACTCTGGGTTATCCTCACTTGGATGAATGATGTTCCACTGAACATTGCAAATACAATAGTTTTATTCACTTCTCAGGACTTTGTTATGTATTTCAGACGCTGTTATTCTATTCTTTGCTTCAATTTTTATTGTCTATAGAAGTTTTATGGAAATGGAAAGATTTTCTTTAAAGATGTTATATTTTTATTCATTCGTTGGTGTGTTGTGAAACAATTAAATTTGATCTTCATGCAGAAAATATGTCTCAGCTCGAGTAAATCTATAATATAAAAAGTATTTCTTATTTGAGAAATCTTGAGTATTCAGAAAATTGGGGGGAAAATGAAGGAAGTTTTTTAAAAATCTTGAGAGGAGTCAAGATTTTGTGATACTGTCTTTCAGCAAAGGTTTAAGTACTTGAGTATATGTATCATTTCTAGGATGAATTATCCGTCCTGATCCACTCTTAACTTGAACTACTTAGATAGAGTGTTTTTACCTCAATTTGATGTAGTTGTAAAGGACTAGTCCTCTTTCAGTTGTTACATAGAACCAACACTTTAATTGAATACATGGAAGATTACTGTATTATCTCTTTGATGACCAGATATGAATTACTTACATCTCTGGGAATAACTGAATGATTTTAGAAATGAGAATTTCATGGGACCATAGCTTTTTTGGCTTTTATCTGGTTATTAAAAACTAATTGTTCTGGTAAAATTCTTTGATCAGATATGAGGAACATTGTGAACGAAAACACATTATGGTATAGATAACATCTTTTCTAGACAACTATGATGACATAAGTATGAATAGATTAAAAATCTATTAAAATGAAAGTTATAAAATGGTTACTAAGTTTTACATAAAAAATAACTTATCTTAACCTCAATGTGTAAACTGACCAAAACTGTTCAGTCATTATTGAATTTCTTGTTTGTATTTACAATTATTTAATCAAAACAGCTTTGACATGATTTTCTTCTGTCATTAAAGTCTTGTATAGCTTCTGAACTGGAATTTTTGTTTTTCTTTATATGCAGTGTTCGTGTGAAGAAAGTTTCAACAGCTACAGAAAAAATCAACTATTCTCAATTATTGATCTAGGCATTCCATCAGATTTTTAGGTCACTTGAACATAGGTCATGATGACTTATAGTGATTGTTGCTGATCTGTCATGGTGCATTAACTTTTGTGAACACGATAACTTAAGAACACATGAACTGATTTTGATGAAAGTTGGCATGCAGCCTTATTATGCTCTCTGAAAGGAGAGGATATAGACATGGCGTCACTTTGTTCATCTGTCTGTAGTCAAATTCTGCTTTTTCACTTATATTTGATCCAAAACATAAAACCTTGTCTCAAAACAAATCTAAGATCATTCGGTATTCAGGTTTACGCTCTACAAAACACAAATATTGATATTGACCAAATTCAGTCATTTGGAACGATAGAAATTCCACCCTAGCTCATGAATTCACCTGAAGTTGACTTTTCACTTCATGAAATGGTTAGATCTGACAATGACAGTTGCACCTTTTGTTCATCCTTCTCAAAATTGCAGTTGAAATATAAAATATTTCAATATTTACATACTGATGGTTCAAAAAATAATGATAAGGTTGCCGCAGCCATGGATTCACAAGATAAGCATATTGATACCGACTACCAAACAACGCCTCAATATCCTCGGCAGAAGCGCAAGCTATCTTCTTCCCCCTTGAATATATTCAAACAAAGTAATGAGAGCTGTTATCTATTCAGACTCTGTTTGTACTACAAAGTCTTAGAAATAGAAATATCGAAAATATTTCCGTTCGTAATACATTAATACTATATCATGAACTTGCCTTTAACTTTCGTATTGCTTTTTGCTGGGTTCCTAGGCACATGGGGATACCAGGCAATGAAAAAGCAAATGAAGCTTTATGGCTACCACCAAAATTCATTTAACTGATTTATAACTATTTATAAAACATTTTTTAATAGCTCAGTGGCAGGAGGAATGGAATATATTAACAATAAATTGCACTCCGTTAAATCATCATTGGTGAATGGTCTCCATGCTATAGAGACAACCACTGAGACGAAGTTGTCTTTGCCTGTCTTCGGATTGCCCATACATACCTTACACATTCGTATTTGTTGAAAGGCGAAGATAACCCTCTGTGCATAGGATATGATGAGCCATTCACAGTTGAACATTTTTTATTGGACTGCATTGACCTTCTGTCTACTCGATAATTTTTTATCAGAACATTACAAGTCTAAAGATCCATTTTGAAACTGTTGAGATTAATCAAATTTTAGGTTATCTGAAAGATGTTGGTCTGTACTATAGACTATGATTTACAATTTTAATTTTGTGATTATATAACCATTTAAAAATTTTAGCATTTGTCTTTTACATTTAAGTTTGTTTGATGTTATTTCCTTTTTGGATCCCTGTGTGTTTATGTGTTGACGGGCCGTGAAGAATGTAATAATAATGATGACTGTCCGTCTGTCCGTCCGTCCTTCATAATTTTGTCCAAAGCATAACACATAAATTTTATGATGTATCAACATAAATCTTCAAAGGTAGATAGCCAGGAGAAGTGCAGTGCACAAGAACCATCACTCTCTTTTGCATAATTTAGGAGTTATTGCCCTTTGTTATTTTTCATAATTAAATTTTGTCTGGAGCATTACACTAAAACTTTAAGAGATATCAGTATGAAATTTCATATGTAGATAGATCTCAACATAGAACAGAACACAGAAAAGTTCTGTGCAACCTCTCCACACAAATAACTTGTGTACCAAACATCAACTTGAATGCCACAGTAATCCTACTTTTAGTAACAAATCAAATGACCTTTCACCTGAAGAGCCATCAAATATTTCTAATAAGGACCCATAAGAACAGAGTAAGTTGTTGAACATAAACTAAAAAGTAACACTTATATTTATAAATATAAACTATAGTCAGTAGCGTGTAGGCCTTCGTGACAGGTGGAGATCTAAAGTGCATAGTTCAACACTCTACCTGTGGTGGCTTATATTTCTCATTCTGCAACAATGTGTTGTGTTCAGAGGTAAGACACTTTATCCAAATTATTCTGGACAGTATGTAATGGGCCTATCATATGTTCATAAAGGTAGCCACCAGTTACTACAGGGAGACACGGCCTCCGAATGACCCTGGTTTTTTTTGTGGGGCAATCAATAAGTTGCACCACACAATAGTTATATGGCTGATTATTTTTATGGGTTTAGATTCTAAACTGTTTTATAAAAATGAGAAAATTATTATCACGTATTCTGCTCCTTATGTCACATTTCAATAAATATTTTATTGTTCAGTAAACAGAGACAACAAACATACACCCTTAAACTGTTCTGGTGTATCAATAAACATCCAATTAGCTTTTATACCAACCTATATCCTGATCATAATCAATTCACATAAAATTCTAAGGAAATACAAGTTTGTTAATGACAACAGAATATATTTGTGTCATGGTGTTACTCTTTACAATCACCTATATACCCTGTGAATTGGCAAATAAGTTTGAAAAAATACTAGAGGCCCATAGGGTCTGTATCACTCACCTAGCTTCGTTTGGCTAAAATTGTTTCATCTAAAAGGAATTTTAAAGTTTAAATCTATTTCTTCCTCACCGGACCCATGCAATGGCCCCCAGAATTCAGAAAAAAACACTTATACAAAAGTCTTGTTCACTCAAGAATGCTTCAGACCAGATTTCTGTTATTCCTCCAGAAGAAAAAGGATTTTAAAGAATTCACCTTTAAGGCTCCCTCCCATCCTACCCCAGGGTGGGTCAGACTGGCAATTTATACAAAACTTTCCTAAAGAATGCTACTGACTGAATTTGGTCAAAATCTGCTTAGTTGTTAACGATTTGGGTTTTAAACTAAATGTTGAGGGATGATGAATTTACAAATGCCATGGTACATTACAAGCTGGCCTTGGTCCTTTGGAACAGGTGAGCCAACAGGTTTTCACAAAAAATATTTTATCAAACAAAAGTATGCTGATTAAACAGTGTTGATCTAAGAAATATGAAACAGGATTATATACAGTAATTATATGGTCCTCTGAAACCTGTTGCATGTACATAGGTTATCTATAGATATGTATGGCTATTTATTGGTTTTGGGATAGCTTCTGCAGAGTCCTTTTTTACTGGTAACTGCTTGTAACTTTGGTTTTATCAAATATCTATCAAGGTCTCAAAACTTTTCATTTGAAACACACAACATGAAGACATTTTACTTCTGTGTTAAGTGGACATGAGAATCTCGCCTGGAAAGGAATTAGTGTGGTACAAGATACACAGGCATAATGGTGGTCAACTGAAATGGATTCCAAAAGAAAGACACAACAAAATGAAATGATCAATCTGGTTTGATACATCATGATCAATATATTTTATCTTTTTATGTACATTTACATAGATATGTACATATATGTAATTATTTACAATTGTTTACATGATGATTATGTACATATTTGTACAATTATTTACAAATGGCTGCAATTATTGATGAAAGACCTGTGAAGAGAATTGTTGGTATCTATCCATGGGAGGCTCTGGCTTGCTCTATTTTCCTTCTAACTTGATTACAATTCAATGTTAATTCAGCATGTTCCATTTTTAAACTTTCTAGTCTATGTCTCAAATCATCACCCTCATCTTTCCTTTCCTCAAAATCACGAAGTAATGACTCATTGCCAAGTAAACCACAGTTCTGTCGCAACCTCTGGTTGTCTATTCGTAGTGCATCTCTTGCTTGCTTTGTTCTTGACAGTATATCTCGTTTCTGAAAAGTTATAAACATTGTACATTACAACATACTTTATAAAACAGTAAATCTGCGAAGAAGAATTGTTTGCTGTTCCAACTTCCCAATATACCAACCTTACCTCCCAATATACCAGCCTTATATCCCACTATACCAGCCTTATCTCCCACTATACCAGTCTTATCTCCCACTATACCAGCCTTATCTCACACCCATTAACTTCCCACTATACCTGCCTTATCTCCCACTATATCTCATACCACTTATCTCCCAATAGTCTTATTTCCCACTATACCAGCCTTATCTCACACTATTCCAGTCTAACTTCCCACTATACCTGCCTTATCTCCCACTATACCAGCCTTATCTCCCATTATACCAGTCTTATCTCCCAATATACCAGTCTTATTTCCCACTATACCAGCCTTATCTCACACTATTCCAGTCTAACTTCCCACTATACCTGCCTTATCTCCCACTATACCAGTCTTATCTCCCACTATACCAGCCTTATCTCCCACTATACAGTCTTATTTCCCACTATACCAGCCTTATCTCACACTATTCCAGTCTAACTTCCCACTATACCTGCCTTATCTCCCACTATACCAGTCTTATCTCCCACTATACCAGCCTTATCTCCCACTATACAGTCTTATTTCCCACTATACCAGCCTTATCTCGCACTATTCCAGTCTAACTTCCCACTATACCTGCCTTATCTCCCACTATACCAGTCTTATCTCCCACTAAACCAGCCTTATCTCCCACTGTATCAGCCTTACCTCTCACTATACCAGCCTTATATCCCACTAAACCAGCCTTATCTCCCACTATACCAGCCTTATCTCCCACTATACCAGCCATATCTCCCACTATGTAAGTCTTATCTCCCACTATACCAGCCTTATCTCCCATTGTACCAGCCTTATCTCCCACTATACCAGCTTTATCTCCCACTGTACCAGCCTTATCTCCCATTATACCAGTCTAACCACCCACTCTACCAGCCTCAGACACAGGAGATATTGAACTTACTATAACAGTTACAGACAATTGAGACATCTGACAAAGACAATCTCAGACAAGGATGGTGTTGGATTTACTGGTCTTAACTCTAACTATACCAGACACAAACACAAGAGATACTGGACTAACTGTGACAGCCTCAGGTGAGAGAGATACAAGTCTTACAATGGCAGACTCAGACAAGGGAGATATTGGACTTACCATGGCAGCCTCAGACTCAACCTCTCGAAGTGTTGTTTTCTGGACCTGGTTCTCAGCCTGCACAAACTGCAGCTTTTCCTTGAGGTGAGTCAACACCTGTACAGTGCTAGTTATCTTCTTCCTGAGCTTTAGTAACTCCTGTAGTGGTTGAAAAATGGAAAAGAGGTTTTAGAGAATAATATTCCTGTGAGGAAAAAGTTAGATAACAAAATGGCAGAAACTGCATTCTAATGATTTCTTATGTTATATTGTGTCTGTCATTTACATTTATCAATTGATATCCTTGTTTTTCAGTGAATATACTCATGTCATATTTTTGTGTGTGACACATTGGTAATACAGCTTATTGTGATGTCACTTAAGGAGACCAAAAATATAAAGCAAACATGTATTACAAATTTGACATAAAAATGTTAATTTTTTCATGTTTTGTACAGTGATTCCCACAAAGTCAAATTCACTTAGATGCTTGACATATATTTATACAGACCAATGTCAAACATTCTCTTGACACCTTTTTGGAATGATTAAACTACCGGTAACATTGACAACTGTTGCCAATATATGGAATCTCTCTAGAGTTGTCTTTTTTAACTTACAAGATTGGCGGAAATGGCAGGTTTACAAGGACAAGTATAAAGAGAATCTTTATAGCGGTAGCCTTTGTAAATATGCTGGGAAGGAAAGTTGCTTAGAAATATGAATGGAGATACTTAGTGTACAATATTTTATTGCTTTGACACATATCCATGTTAGTAGGAAAAAATATGCATTAATCATAATTATCACTCTGTTTTAAATTATATAGAACATCTCTTGAATACTCATCCACACAGGGGTTGCTAAAATTTGCGTTCTTATTCTGACTCGACCACAAAAAAGACCAAAATAAAATCACAGATAGAAAACCTAAACCCTTCGGACTAGATACACGTTTTTGACATGTTTTGGAAAGTACCTGTTATATACTTGTGTGTTGTAGTGTATCTGTTTTTGACATGTTTTGGAAAGTACCTGTTATATACTTGTGTGTTGTAGTGTATCTGTTTTTGACATGTTTTGGAAAGTACCTGTTATATACTTGTGTGTTGTAGTGTATCTGTTTTTGACATGTTTTGGAAAGTACCTGTTATATACTTGTGTGTTGTAGTGTATCTGTTTTTGACATGTTTTGGAAAGTACCTGTTATATACTTGTGTGTTGTAGTGTGTCTGTTTTTGACATGTTTGGGAAAGTACCTGTAATTAAGTATTTATGTACCTCATTTCTTTCTTCTATCTTTTCATTATATGTTTGATTTTCAATTTTCAGCTGTTCAAAGTCAATGAGGTGAAGATTTTCAGCCAATTCCTCCTGTAAAAAATATCAAATAAAAGTTATTTGTAGATTTAAACGAAGAAAAACATCAGTCAAACAAAACAATACAAATCCATGAACAGGTAGCACTGAGATAACTCAACAGATTAATACAAAGCATGTCTTCACTTGAGTTTTCAAGTCATATTGTAATAAATAATTGGAGCTACAACATGACTCTTTCATTTCTGTCATTATATACCTGTTGTATACTGGTACTTCTTATTCCTGGAATAAAATTTCATGGTAACTATTGTTTATTCACCACATTCTTTGTCTAGTTTTACCTTTGATTTCAACTGCATCTCCTTTTTCTTTAGTTTATTTTTGAGTTTGATGTTTTCTAAGCGGACATTCACCACCTCTGACTCTTTCTTCATTTCGTTTGATAAGTATTGGTCAATATCCTGTAAAGAGGAAAGACTCATAAATATTGCAATGTTTGATATCAATCAAAGTATTATAACCACAGAAACACTCATTCTAGTTTATAGTAATAAATAAAGAAATAGAAAAAACAACATATGATCAGGGATATATCATCATAAAGTAAGGGAAAATTATAGGTGAGAGATTGATACCTCTAATAGTGGTACCTAAATTTTTTTGGTACTTTCATTGATAACCTGCTGTTGGTGGTACTTATAAGTGTTGATTATCAACCTTTAATGGTACTGATATAGATATATATTGGTAACCTATATTTGGGCACACTTGTATTGGTAACCTACCTTTGGTGTTACATATTGGTAACCTACCTTTGATAGTACTTATATACATTGGTAACCTACCTTTGGTGGTACATATTGGTAACCTACCTTTGATAGTACTTATATACATTAGTAACCTACCTTTGGTGGTACATATTGGTAACCTACCTTTGATAGTACTTATATACATTGGTAACCTAGCTTTGGTGACACTTAATGTATGTTTGTAACCTACCTTTGGCGGGATGGGTTTGCCAGATCTGTTACTGACAGAATTCAGAGCAACATGTTTTTTGAATTCCATGAAACGCTTCCTCTCCTCATCTACCATCTCTTTCTTCTGCTCACATTTTTCCTTGACTTCCTCAATCTGGACCTCAAAGTTGTCCCTCTCTAACATGTCCTGTTTCCGTAATTCATCCAGTTGTGCTGAAGGAAGATATCAAACTGTACTATTTCCTTTTTTTCTTAAATAAGGCATAAGATATAACTATTTGGATATAGACCATTAAGCACACAAATGGTTGACTGATTGTCCGGTATTTATGTGTATATCTGACCATTCACTATCACATTAGTACTTATTTCAGTACACCCAACAAAATTATAGATCCTTAAATTCTCACCAAACTTACCCATGTATTTCACATATTTTGAATCCTGATCATTAGCATTTTTATCATAGTCTTGACGATTTTCATCAGCTTTCTTCTTACGAAACAGTTCTGCTAGTTTATGTTGGAGCTGGTAGTTTTGCTGCTGAAGCTTCTCTCTTTCTGTGATTGTTGCCTGGAAATAAATCAGAGGTTTTGTGATTATATATCCCCAAGAAAATTAAAGGAACTGCATTTTTTTCATTTAACAATATGATACAATTTCAATGAATTCAATTCAAGACCAGTATAGTGTTAATTCTAAAAAGATAATAAATTTGTGACAAAATGCAAACATACATAATATTTTTCCATCAGAGCTTCTCTGTCAAATTCTGGCTCTTGTTCCTCCTCCTCTTCCTCTTCTTCCTCCTCTTCTTGCTCCTCCTGGAATGTTTCCAGGTGTTTGTCATGTTCACCAGTTTGTGAAGCTGAAATCAGGAGAAAGATATCTGTAGGAACTTTTAACCTAAAATAAATGGTCAGTTAATTAAACATTCTAACATATCCATTCACCAACGAAAATAAATTTGCTAAAAAAATTGCAAGCAAGTAGCAATTGATGGTGACTAGAAGATACAACTCCAGCCTATTGCTAACATCAGTGGGTGGGAGACCCCCTGCATAGTGTTGATACTACACAGTATACATAGAGGTGGGAGAATTTTTACCTTAATGTATATATAAAAATCTTAGAAGTTGACTCTCTAAAATGTTGTTTTGTATTCTTCCTTTCTAAAGTTAAGCAAGTAATAAAGACCAATACAAAAGACAATAAGAACGAACACAATAGTAATTTAAAATGATACAGGAAATGATATGTGTATACTGTATCATGCCACTTTTCAAACACTTTCACTAATCTGTCGGTGAATTATGCTGCAACTGATGATCTTGAGTAAGTATATGTCTACAATGCAATGACTGATGGTTAAAATTACTTCTGAGGCATTGTATTGTAGCTGTATTGACCCATCAGTTCACATAAATTTGTTTTGACATGTATTGTTATAAGTGTACCTTTCATATTTGAATGCACAGCTGACATAACATCATTTGAATGTGTAATTAAATTCTCTGGAAATGAACTGCTCTCTGAATGCTGATCGGGTAAAACAATCCTATCTGATTCGTCACCCCTAACAGTTTGTTCACTAAATGCAGAAAGCAAGTTGGAGGAAGTTTTGGGTGGTCCATCCACCTCACCAACTGTTGTGTTTATCTTATCTCCCTCTCCATCAGCAAGTTGGGTCCCTGTGTCTTCCTGTCTATCAACAGGTTGGGCCCCTGTGTCTTCCTTTCCATCAACTTGTTGGGCCCCTGTGTCTTCATTTCCATCAACTTGTTGGGCCCCTGTGTCTTCATTTCCATCAACAGTTGGGGTTCCTGTATCTTTCTCTTCATCATGAACTGGAGACCCCGTATCTTTCTTTCCATCATCAGCTGTAATCTCCTGATACAATTGTGTTGCTACAGAAACATCTTCCTCACTATCAGAATTCGAGCTAACTGATTCATCCTCTTCATCAGCACTAACTGATCTAAATCTATCCATATCTAATCAGTAGTTGGTATGACATGAAAATGTACTTTCAGTCCAAAAGTATCCTTTGTGTAGCTGAACTGACAATAGAACCTCTGTTTGTCACCATCTAAAACCCTCTAGTTTCACATAAGCCCAGATAAAAGACAAATCTATGTGAACTTGTATGTTAGTTACTCTACTAATCCCACAATGCTCTATGGTAATTGTTCCAAGTTAGCTTTACATCCCATAATGCAAATTTCATCATCTAAGACCACATGCTATTTATTGTTCCTCAGGTCACATGACATCTATTGTTCTTCAGGTCACATGTCACTTATATTTCTTGGGATCACATGACAGCTATTGTTCACATGGTATATATGGTTCTTCAGGTCATATGACATTTATTGTTCTTCATGTCACATGGTATCTATTGTTCTTTAGGTCACATGACATTTGATATTCTTCAGGTCACATGGCATCCATTGTTCTACAGGTCACAAATTACACTATTGTTTGAAATGTTATCATAGAATGTTGATGATTTTTTTCCTAATTTCCATAATACTTCATCTGATCTGATTAAGGGAATTCAACTTCAAACAACATTGTAGCCCACATAAATGAATTTATTTAGATCAAAAAGTAAACATTTTCCTGGTTCTGACATGAAAATTTCTTATCCCAAGAGTTTGTGTAGTGAAATTCTGCTTGGCAGTTCTATCCTTATTTTCTTCAGACAATAATGCAATTTATGACATTATGACACAGATATGTACATATATGTATTATAAATAAATGCAAGATAAGGAGCAGCTTTGAATAGGTTTTGTTCCTAAATAATAGTCACCTTTATGACCATGGCTTTTGTGTGTAACTTGTTGATCATCAATACTACACTTTAATGTGTACAACAAATACTGTACTAAAATGTCTAGACCTACCTGGTCTTGATCTTTCTGGTGTTCCTGGTTCCAGAACACCAGTATCTGGTTGTGGTACTTCTGCAGCCTCTTGAGTAGGACTACCTTCCCTTGATAACTTCTCTCCAACACCTATAGGACTCTCTGCTCGTTCACCAGCAGCAAATGTATCACTCTGAAAGACACATCTACATATAATTCCTTCATCAGTACCAATTAGATTGCTGGAAAATAATTTAATCATTAAAAACGTTTGCATTTATGATTAAAATAATACTATACTATGTAAAGATAGTCCCAAACACTGATTTAATACCTGAGGTACTGGTGATCCACTTTCTGGCTCTCCATCCTTTTTTTCTCCTCCTTCTTCACCTTCTTGTTTTTCTCCTTCTTGCACTCCTTCTTTGGGTTCAGCTCCGTCGTCACCCTCTTTTGGTTCAGCTCCATCTTCACCTTCTTTTGGTTCAGCTCCATCTTCACCCTCTTTTGGCTCTGCTCCTTCTTCTGTCTCTTTGGGTTCTGCTCCTTCTTCTTCCCCTTTTGTTTCAGTAGTTTCTTCACTTTCTTTAGCTACAGCCCCCTCCTCACCCTCCTTCACGTCTGCCCCTTCATCTCCCTCCTTTGGTTCTTTTACTTCGGTTCCTTCTTCACCTTCTGTCTTTTGCTCGCCATCCTCACCTTGGAAAATAGATCCAGATGAAATCTCAAATGTTGAAATGAGCTCAAATATGCATATAAATGGATATTAAAAATACACATATATGGCTGTGTGAAAAAATGCACTTCACAGAAAAAAGTATGAATTACCTTCTTTTGGTGGCTGCTCATCTTGTGTCTCCTGTGCTTCCTCCCCTTCTGTTTGTTGTTCAGTCAATTGTTCTGTTGGTTGGTCTTCAGTCTGTCCCCCTTCTGCAGTATCAGCTTGATTTTCTCCCTCTGTATTTTCTACTGTTTGTTCTGTAAATGATGACAAACAGAATATTAACATTTGATCTAATCCTGAACTAGCAAATATGTTATATATAAGCACAAACAAGAGGCACAGAGCATTATGAGATTACATTTCCGATGGAACATTATGTAAAAAATACCTTCAGTTATTTCTTGCTCAGGGGCTGGTGGTTCAGTCGTTGATTCGTCTGCCCCAGCAGTAGTCTCATCTGTTGTCTCTGCAACAGGTGCAGCTTCCTGTAATTAGTATGTATATGCTATAATCACATATATGTATTACATTTATAATTTCGCTGGGACTTGCTTGTCAATTCGTACTGATATTTAGTCTTTCTCTAAAATGTATTGTTCAGCGGCTATTTTTTTCATCTTATAAACTCAAAAACTGGTGATACATTTTCACGGTTTTTCATGAAATATCGATAAATACTAGATGTTTTCGACTTGAGTATTCGGTCACCAAATGATACTGAGAACAGGTTATCGTGACATAGCACAGAGTTAGAACAAAGTGCAACGAGAACTGGTAATAATCTACTCTTCATCGATGTTTATTTTGTTGGCAGACAAGTGCTCGACATCAGTGCTACAGTAGATAAATTGACATTTTTATCAAATATGAAATGTCCCTATATGCTTTAGTAATTCAGAAACAATAATAAACGTTAATTGATTATTTGATATGACTAAGTACCAAATATACACGCATCATCAAGTCCACACATTTCACTGAATGATAAACACATTGAAATCTTACCTCTTGGTCCGCCATTGTTGTTGTCAAGGAAAACACGCATAGATGGCGCTTTTATTCAACAAATAATATTTACATTAAATTTATTTATAATTGTAAGTTGCATCTGTACATTTGAATTTGGAAAATATTGACATGATATTGTTAATTTTTTGACCAATATATTTTATTTTGGTATACATATTTGAGATTTTGTCCGGCGGGAATGCAATCGGAAAATTGTTTCGGGCCTTTCCGTCAATCTTGAATACCACTCGATCTCTTCCGTCACACTTGAAAACCGCTCGTTAATTTCCGTCATCATTGTTTCTGGCATTGGAGGGAACTTTAAAGCTACAATCTCCCGCGAGAAAGTCTACCGCCTGCCATAAGCTAACGTTAACAGCACCGCGGCATTTTTTTCTGAAACGGTAAAAGATGATGTCTACAAGCCATGTTGTTGCCTCACCACAAATTGGACCAACTTCATGTAAAGGACAAATACAGGTTGTTTGCGTTTATTTTCGGATTTGCAATATATTTTGACATTTTTATCCAGTGCTTACTCTGGCATGCCAGCGGCAGTGCTATAGATTTCTGTATTGTGCTAGTGCTGCAAGTAGTATAGCTAAAGAAAGAAAAGTTACGTCTGTCGTTTATTGTCTGTGTTTATATATCCAGAATATTTAGGGAATAGTATATCTTCATTTACATTTGGAACTTTTCATTATATGTCAGCGTTTTTCAGTGATGCTTAAAAGCTGAATATGTAAAAATTCGAAATCGCGCCATTTCATTTACTCAGATCTATAGGACCCAAAGATTCCTAACAAAGAATTTGTTTTCCGCGAATAATACTACGGTGCAATGACCACTGGATCACATATGTATGATTTTTATCTATGATATAATAGTGTAACCAGATGATACATCAGTGCCATTTACTTTGTTTTACTTGATAACAGTTAAGAGGCGTATGCAATACACTAGCAGTCAAAGAAATAGGGATTGAAAAATAGATATGCTGGTAATTCATAACTTTTCCATAAATAAATTTTATTCAGTGTATACTTGTGAAAATGTATCAAATTAAAAAAAATAATCAACGTATATAAATAGTATATGAATGGCTTTTACAACATAAAACATTGATTTATACTGTATATATTCTTCTTTATAGCTAATTATTGGACCAATGTTTTCTGGAAAAACGTAAGTATCTTTGTACATGTCATCAGAACAAGAAATAGAAAATAAAAGGATATATTGCCTTTATATTCAGAAATTTAGTGGGTTTTTAAAGTTTTGGCACTGAATGTCTGATGCATGAAGCTAGACATACATAGTTAATTCATGTTTGCTTAAATGGAAGCAATATCAGCATTGTATCTTATATAATTTTATGACAGTTTTGAAACAAGATATATAAACTGGCATCGTTCTGCCATGATTTAAGTCCTGGGTCTTCCATACATATTCATTTCCATGATTAACTAGTAATGAAATTAATACTTTTTGTGTTGATTTTACAGCACAGAACTGATGAGGAGACTAAAACGGTACCAAATTGCCAATTACAAATGCCTTGTTATCAAGTACTCTAAGGATGACCGATATGATAAAGAGGGGCTTGCAACACATGACAGGTAATTCATTTTACAAATCTGTTAAAGCTGCCTGCCATAAAAACCTGTGTAATGTGTGCAGGTATTTTTTTTTTTTTTTTTTTTAGCTGTAATATTTATATATCTACTTGCATGTTGTGTGCACTGGAAAATTCAGTCAAAATTAATCACTGGAAACCAAGAAATTGATCTCAGAATGTTCAGCTATTACGTCGACCCAGAAACTTGAAAGCATTCTCTTCGAAATCTCTATCGTCCCCAATTACCTTATGTTGAATTATAGGCCTTACAATTAAAGCGTGATGTTTGTGCACTATCTACCAATTAACCCACATTTATTTATCTTGCTTACACAAACACTTATCTTTACACTAGGCATAATCAAAAGTGTTCAGTTTTAAAATCACAGGTATATGTTGTAATCTAGCTATTACTGACCAAACCAGGTAATTAAGATGCCTCACTGTCACATGCATTTGCCAGCTGACATAAATTTAGGCCCCAACTCTGTATATGCATTTATGCAGAGCACGGAATGGAACAGCACAGAATGTATTGGAGCAAAACATATGTGTATTGTCAAAAGAAGAATGACATCTTGTTAGACATTTTGGTAAGGTAATTGCATCAAGACTATTCCCTCTTAATCATCAGAGAGATATAGATTTGTTTCATAAATATCAATAGGACCAATCCACACTTAGCATACTAATATGTCAACGCTTACTTCTGTCGACACAGATGAAAACAGATATGTGCTCATGGTTTCTGGTTCATCACAATATCCTACATGAAGGAGAATATATTGTAACCTGTCATTTTCTTAACAGTTGAATAATATAATATAAAGATAATCATATAATAATAAACATATTTTTCAATGTCCCAAGCAGGGCATTGTCTTTGCTGATTGTTGGTTTTCTGTCTTACTAGTTGCTGTCACATATTTAAACACTGTATCCTGATTTTGCATGGTATTGATTTGGATTAGTTGCATTAATATATGCAGTAATTATCTTATTCATTGTTGTTGTTTGTAAACAAATGATCAAATCCTTCTTGTGTCAGTTTTGTGAACCAGATAGTCCTGACAGTCAATGATAGTGGTTTTACAGAATCTTAAATTTGTCTGTGAAAAAAATGAAGATACTTTAGCTACATGATGTGCTCCACCCACATTTTGGACATTTATTTTCTCATTAACAAACTGCACATTTCATTGGTTTTTGTGGTTATTCAGACTGGAAAGCTAGTCTGGTGCTATATAACAGGAATAACAGTCATGAATTTCATTTATTTGTCAGGCAAACATTACCAGCAGTAGCTGCAGATTGTCTGGCAGACATGGAAGTTTTAGGGGAGAATTATGATGTCATTGGTGTGGACGAGGGACAGTTTGTAAGTGTTTATGCTCACTTGTGAACTTAAACTTTGTCTATGCATCAATAACTAAGGAGACCAAGTCATTGGTACAGAACCATGAACACATTGGTTTTGGAATCCTGAAGCTGCTATTGAATTTTAAAAGCAGTCTTGCTTAATCCTGAAAAAGTGCAACACATAAAGCTGTAGGGTCAATCATTTTAGATGAAATTCCTCTAATACATATCATCTTTATGTTCTGGTCTGTTAAAATTTATGAAAGGAAGACATGTATTATTTCCAGGAATAATTCTTTGTATAGACTTTTTGCATAGCAATATTTAAAACATCAGATTTACACTAAAATTCCTGACCAAAATCGTAAGGTAATTATGGTTATAGAGTATGAATTAGTAGTTGTGGTTGTTCAGAGTATAAATGTTATAACATTTACTTGCCTTTTCAGTTTCCAGATGTGGTGTCATTTTGTGATAGTATGGCAGAGAATGGTAAAATTGTGATAGTGTCTGCTTTGGATGGAACATTCCAGAAAAAGGTAGATTTTAAATCCAACCAACATCTGCTAATTCTAATATTTTTTATTTTAAATGTTAAAGTCGTTAATTTATTTGACTATGGATATCTCATTAGAGACTAATAAATACCAAATATAATATGATTATAAATATAAATAATAATATATCTACTAGAAAGGCTAGAAAAGAACACATTTCCTGCAGATGGATGTTTAATTTTGATTGTCAGAATTTACACAGAAATAGGCATACTATAAGCCCAGTAGGAACATCTATAGAGAAAAATCACCTTTGGGATGATATAGGAAAACTCCTGAAAGGTAGTGCTGCATTTCTATTCTTCCTTAGAGTTGATTATGATGTCTGATGTCCTGGTTCAACCAAAGGACAGTGAATGATCTCTTACTATTCTGGTCTTGATTACTGTTACTGATGCAAGACTATTGGTTTCAGGGATTTGGTGATATTCTGAACTTGGTACCATTGGCTGAGAGTGTGATAAAGTTGTCTGCAGTGTGCATGAAATGTAATAGTGAGGGATCCTTTACGAAAAGGAAGGGACAAGAAAAAGAGGTGAGTAGTAGTGATGCCTTCAGTTGACTTTTTTTTCACAACTTTTCCCAGAAGATAAACAGGGCACCAGGCATCAAACTGGATATTGGTGTCTATTTCAAGAATTGTATCTTGTAGAAATGTCTTGCAGCCATTGCTGACTATGCTGTACTATTGTTATTTATGAGAACACAGCTTATTTCTGGGTGATATAGTGATACTATTGGACACCATTTACATTATTACAACTTAGGTAATGCATACAGTATAACATTTTGAAATAATACGGAATATGATTACAATCATAGCACATCACTTTTTGCCACAAAATTCACAATCCAGGTCAAAATGCACAAATTTAGTCTAGATAGTAACCTTCAATATCAGATCTGTTCATAAAACATCTGTATAGAATCCCATTTAATCACAAGACTTCTGGTCCTTTGATATAAAGTCCAGGAAGGGTGGGACATGTCTTTCATAGTCATACATAACTTTGACATAGACAAATACGCACCACAGCCTCCTAAACAAAGCTATTGATTCGACTTAGCATTCTTCATTTAATCTTAATTTTGGTAAGTCTTTTTCAATTTTATCTGGCAGGTGGAGGTGATTGGTGGAGCAGACAAATATTTAGCAGTGTGTCGGGCATGTTTCCAGTCCCCAGTGAAGATATCGGATAAGGAAAACCGCACCCCGACAGTTCTACCACAACAATCATCAGAGAAAATGCTGACCAGTCGTAAACTTTTCTCTCCAATGTCAGATAGAACAAATAATCAATAACCCAAGTCAGATCATAGGGTCAATACTCATGATATATTATTTATTGATTTCAGTAATTCAACACAACATTTAAGTAAATATTTTCAAAATGTTCTCGAATTTAAAGCCATATGTCACCTTAGTCCCATTTTATACCAAAATAAATTTAATTTAAAGAATGTGTCAGATATGTATGTGAAGTTGAAAGCAAAAAAAAAAGTGCCAAACAATGGATGACAAAGGTGAATGTTATCAGAACAAATTATTTTATTACATCAGAAGTAAGCGTACCTGAAATGTATAATTTTTACTTTTCTGTAAAGGTGTTCAATTTTTTGTAATATATCTAATTTACTTTACATATTATTTTATTATTTAGGTGCAATTTTGCCTATCACTTTTTATAGCACTTCAAATTTAATATGGTTGTCAAGAAGGGAATTTAGTAATACTGATTTTGTCACTGCAATATTTCTGTATTTCCAGTAACATTTTGTTTTTTCCACCTTGTCACAGTTCTTTGTGAATTTTTATGCAGGTTGATAATAAAAAATCAGTTTACGTTGAATATAAGGTACACTTACACAGTACTTTCCATTCATCTGAACACTAAAGGAGAAATGTTTCCACCCTAGTTCTAGCATTTTCCTAGTACAAGATGGCAGAGCTGAATGTGCTCTATTACAGGTGAATAGGAAAGATGTGTTGAAACCTTCATACCATTACTTAATCAGGATGACATGAATTTCAACTGCACTGAGCAATGAATGAAATAATTTATTAAATAATTTAATAGATTAAACCAAGGCAATGTGATTGGAAGAATTGCCATAAAATGTAATTAGGTTGCAGTGACCTTTTATCTACTGTTTCATTATTCATCAAACAGTATTTTTAAATTATTTTTTTAGTATTGCACACTCCAGCATTGCTATTTCCTCACATCTATGACCTGCATATTTTTTGTGTTCTGTAAATATGACATTGATACAGGTTATGCAAGCCCTTTTAGTGCAGCTCTTTTATTTGTGCTACATGTATTTTGTAAAGTTGCAGATCAATGATATAAATATTGATCTTTGCTGTTTTTAATCAAACTAATAAATTTAAGCATTACTATCGTGTGTTTTCTTTCATCAGCTTTGTCAGGGTAAATCTAACCACAGAATTTGAGGTTATGATCTCAAGTCAATGTCCAAAAAAAATGTATTTAGCATTTTAATAAAATTTACTTGATGAATGGTACCAGTTATTTCTTTATCTTAATTCTATGAACATCTCCGTGCTGTTTCATAGTTTCAGTTCTGTAAAACTTTCACACACCCATGTCTATATTGAGTGCAATTCTATAAAAAAAATTACAATAGACTAATACAAACAATCCACAAGAATCAAAATGTATATTTATTTGAATAGTTAATCAACTGGAAAATCACTGGATATATTTATAAAAACAATTGTGTAAAATCAAAATGCCCTATTATTATCACTTGGTATTTATCATGCAAAAAATCTTGGCAATAAGTCCACAATATGTGAGAAATAAGTATATACCTTAAAAAGATATATTTTTTGAGTCACAACAATCTGATATAGAGGTATTCAACATCATGTAAGGGAAATCATATACATATGTATGATACCACATACTGATATGGTAATGTAATTAAAGCTTTGTACCACGTATCAATGACTTAGTTGGTCCAAAGTATTCTATCTGATTTTATTTTTGTCTTTGTCCCGCAGGGTTTTAGCGACCAGTACATGGTTCAGCATTCAATGTTTTACATAATTTACTACAAAGTGATAGTTATAAATCAAACATCCATGGAATGATGACACAAAACAGAAATAAAATTGCAGATAGATTGTAAATCCTTTGGACTATGATCTGGAATAGATTCAATATGGAGGTAGAATTCATACACACAATATAAACAGTATATTTCACAGTTTAAAAAAAGGACTTTAACTTTGAAATAAACAATATACAGTCCAATACAATACTTAAGTTGTAAACAAAAATTATTCCACAATACCAAATATACCCGTGATATTAATGTAGTATTTAGTCACCAGAATTTTTCCTGCTACAAAGGTAAATAAAAGTGGCATACAGCTTACCATCTGCTTCTGTGCTGGTCAAAACTGATGTTTCAGCTAGGTGTGGTAACTGCTATCATATGATCATAATTTTTGAAGTGATGTCCCTTCAATGATTAGGCATTCGTATCTTTTCATATCTTATTTCTATCCAACACAAAGAAAATATTGAGAAAGCTGGATAGAATTTTACAAATATCTGAAAGCAATGGGGACATATCTCTGGATTTTCTGAATAACGAGGCAATGCTGTGTACCTTTTATGGTAGTTTGGGGATTATAATATCTCTTATATTTTATTTTAAAAAATTATGAAACGAATGATTACTGGTTTGGAGAACTTTTAAATTTACCAAGCATATGGGAGCAGATCAACAAATTTTGATAGACGTTTTTGAAAGCATTCAGCAAAACAACAATCACCAATATAAAATCTAAACTGGAGATATATTATCACTGCTTATCTCTTCCTTTGGTGATGCCACAATGAATGTGGTGCCCTGACATGACTAGTGAAACAGTAAAAATCTAAGGCAATTTATATGTAATGGGTGTAATGCTGATATTAGTTTGTTAATTAGTCATTGTAATAACCAAGCTGACTTCTCTAAACATAGTTTACTTGTCTCAACAGCGATGTGTAATCTGTGCCCTTACAATTCAACTGAACATCATGAACTCCAAAAATTATGATTAGTATGAAATTAGCATGGTCTTGACACAGTCACAACATAACTAGGTTTAATATGCATCCAAAAATTCTGATGGGATGTATTACTGTATGGCATTATTCATCAGTGTGATCTCCTTCCACAGTTTTCAAATGATTTCTTTGAAACTTAGTAGACTTAATCATCACAACATGAAGTTGTGTTTTCCTAAACGTCAGTTTGATTCGAGAGCAGTTGGAAGATCTACCATCCTTTGATGTATTCATAATGTTCATCTTTTCCAGAGATCTCTCGAGTTTTCGATCAATTTCTTTCAAACTTTTTAATATTAATCACCATGATGTAAAATTGTGTCCTTAACATATTTCCCACTGGACATTTTGACTTGTTATCATATCCATATTTGTATTCTTGATATGACAAATCCTGAATTTCTTGGAAAGTAATGGATGTATATTATTCCACCTCGTAGTACTCTTGTTAAATAATTTTTACTTCAAATCTTCCACAGTCGTAATGATATAGACAATAACATTGAAATTATTTTCTTGTAAATAGAATAATGCTGGTAAGGTAAATGAAATAATACTGCATAGATAAAATCTATAAAAAAAAAGTGGTTTAAAATAATACACACATTAGATATAAAAATGATAAATCTGAATACAAAGTAACAGTCCTTTTGAAGGTGTTCCTTGAGAATAAACCATAATAACGAGGAATCTTGGAACCCACAGTCATTTGGTCTTTTCTATTTTTTCTTTGATTTTCTCTTTATTATACGATCTTTAAAACATTCTGAATGATCCATCAAAAACTTCAAATAGTTATAACAAACTTGAATAATCAAAATTCAAGATGGCTACCTGTCAGCCATTTTGTTTTCTGATTAATACCAAAATCGAAAGGGCACAAGTGACCAATAGGGAACCTACATACAAAATTTTGGCCATGCAAAACTAGAGAAAACGTTGGATCTGCACCTGAGAGTCGAGAATGATTCATCAAATACTTCTCCTGAAATAGTGATAACAATTGCTGGCTGTCAATAAACCAAAATGGCTGCTTGTCAGGTCCCAAATTCAAGGTACTTTTTGTGTTTATGTAATGATAAAGATCACACGATTTTGAAATTGCATTTGAGGTTTCATGCAAAATTAAAGCAATTTACACTATCTACATAAGTCTGTGTCTCTTCAATTTCCAGAAGTGTTTTAAGTTAGAGCACCTGTCCCAGGTTTTACATCAGTTTAGCCCCACTTTCCCTTTCCGAATTACACTCATACTGATTGAGCTTTAGAATTTGTGTCCTTTTTTTTGGCACATGCATATTTAATGTTAAACACATACATTTATGGATGTTCTGAATAGTAAAACCCACACCTTTATCAATTTTGATGATTAATCACATACCGGTATATCATCTTGATATGTACAGTTATGTGTAATTTCCAAACAATTCTAAAACAAAAATAGATAACAAGTAATACATACATCGAGGAAACCCCACAAAAAAATAGTTGGATGGTTGTGGTTAAAATTTCCCAGCAATCAACTATATCTGGACGAGCCCTGAGTGTATAGCTGTATATCAATAACATATATATCTCTTGGGTACTGCTTCACCAACAATATGTGATAAAATTTTCCTTTTTTTTTTCAATAATATTATTTGAGGCAGTGACATTAAGATGAATATTCTTTGAGGACAAACTGAATTTTTTGCACGCTTTTCTCGACATCAGCTGTAGTGATATCGTTGTGAGTAACTAAACGCAACAGTTTGACTCCCCATGGCATCCCCTTGATGATAATTCTACATCCGAGCTCACTTTCCTCGGCAGCTGGTACCTGGATAAAATACAAGAAACATGAAGGATGGAAATAAGTAAAGACCTTTATTTTCCCATTTTAATAAGGTGTAGATAAGGGTAACTAAAGTAGAGCAAAATGAAAATACATGTTTTTTTTTTCCTGTCTGACATCAACACTTAAAAGTATCTTTTAAAGAGTTATCAAACACACTGATTACCCAAAGGGATCTTGGCAACCACCACTGTTTTTATTTGTTCTTTAAAAGTTGGATCTTTTCCTTTCTTTTCTCTGTTTTTGCTCTTAATCAGATGAAATTTTAATTTCAAAATGTCTTGAACAAAAATAGCAATAATAATCTTTATCTGCCAAATCAAGGATGGGTCGACTGTCCACCATTTTTGTTTTTTCATATCAGTCCCAAAATAAAAAAAAAAGAAATAGCTAGGGACCAAGAAGAATTAACATAAAAAATTGAGATCCAATACTTCTCAAGAAATATCAATAACAATCTTTCATAGTCAAAATCCAAGATAACCATCAGTCAGCCATTTCATTTTTCTAATCAGTCCCAAAATAAAAAAGGCACATTTTGGGACTAAGCTAACAATTGTAAGAAATTTGAGAAAGATCATTCAAGTGCTTCTCAAGAAATGGCAATAACAAACTTTCAAAATCAAAGACGACCTTTTTGTTTTTCTGCTTCTCTGGACACTACATCTAGCCATAATCCTGGGAAATGTTGGCAGAACAAGTGTGTCTATGGAAAGAGAAATGATATGTAATCCTCACCCCCCTCCCCTTCCCTCCCACAACTGTTAAAATTAATTAATTACAATTACTAGCACAACAATCATGTTTACCTCTGCTAGTCTTTTAACAATCATCTCTGGAGTCACTGTTTCTGACACAACAGTTATCATCAATATGTTGGTATGTACATCTTCTACGTCTAGAGTGGCGACATTCTGGTCCACAGACATTATCCCTGAATAAATAGGTAAAAGGTAGAGAAGACATGTCTACTTGCAATTATGACCATCCAAATCAGTGCAGATAGAACAGAAATGTCTAATACATCCTGTCAACAATTCTAAAATAATTGTCAGTAATACATGTTTTATTGGATAATTTCCTTGATCTAATCCCTGATTGACTCGTTAATTACATTTTTTTTTTATTCTGTATTTTCATTTGTAGAGACATAGTCACATGTTCTAAGATTTTTATTGATATTGCACTGTAAACCAGATAATTTTTCATATTCCATCGCTTTGTTCTATTTTTAATAACAAGGAATTTCTATTTACAAACTGATCTAACCAATCAAAATAAGTATTTCTTCTGTAACCATCACTTCTGCAATGCTTGTTATATATGAGAATGATGGTTAAAAATCTGGCCTTGGATGATATTTCTTTTTGTACTCCATAAATATCGAACCAATAAGAGTGCAATAATTGTAAAAGAATTGTCCAGTTGTAACAATCATTCTGATGCTAGTCCACATATGGTGGCCATCTTTCCTGTCGAGTCAGATGCTAGTCCACATATGGTGGCCATCTTTCCTATCGAGTCAGATGCTAGTCCACATACAGTGGCCATCTTTCCTGTCAAGTCCGATGATTTATCGTGACATTGAAATTGACGATAACGACATGCTCAAATGTGTCATCGATTATGACTCACATTTCTTCACTTCAAGCAATTTTAATGGTAATGTCGGCATCTTTACAAATATGGTAGCAATTAAGTCTACAATCAGTATCTCAAACCAGGAATTCTCAATGCTACTTATATTAAAACTAAAACCATTTTTTCCAACCATTAGTGGATAGACCTATACAACATGATACAAAATCCAAATCTCCATTTGAATTATTTTTCTGTCACCTGTCAATGTCCGCTGTTTTTATAGTATTGATCTACTAATAATACCTTTCCTATTCAGAGATAAACATGGCAGATATGTAAACAAGGAATCTATGTCAACAATTTTAGATCATTCATGCAGCAAATTATCAGAAGACTTTTCATTTGCCTTGACCTACATCCTGATCCGAATCTTTCAACAAAAATTACTTTAAACTGGGCAGAGCTCCTACATCATCAAAGGTTGAAAAGCGTTTTGATTGACTCAGAACATGTGAGGAAATTTTTTGAAACAAAAATTTGTAAAATAGGGATTTCAACAAATATTCAAATATATAGTAGGACAGAATTTGAATAGGAGAATGGTATTAGAATATTTGTTCTTGCTATTTTTAGAAATTAACATTTGTAAGATATAAATTAATGTGTTCTTTGTCAACAAATACTTCAATTTTCATTCATTAAGGTATAAATAAATGTTCAAAGTTTTATACCTGTACACTTCATGACAATAATAAGTCTATCGCCAGAGATCTTCCTTATCCAGGTAAGTTTGACACCTTGTCAAGGTGAAACAACAAAGATCAATGTACACCTGTAATGTTGTCAAGAACATCAGTCTAACGGTGCTTCAAGTCACTTTAATCAGAATTTAAGTAGGTCATTTTTGTGGAACACTTATGGACAGTAATTATAAAATATGGTTAAGAAAAATACCTAATGATCCTGTGACAAGTTTTTGTGGTATGGTATTTTCACATTTTTAAAGACTGATTTCATAAGCAAGATAGATAGGCCTAGAAATTGATATCATCTATCTGTTAAACATCTTGTTGCTTCATTTGTCATATTGACAATTTGTCTTACGTTAAAACCAAAATTCTTCATCTACTATCCAGTAATGCATAAATAATGAACATACTATCCCCTTATTATAACCATCCTAATCTGTCACAGGTAGAAAGGACATATCTACCTACAATTATAACCATCCTAATCTGTCACAGGTAGAAAAGACCTGTCTACCTACCATTATAACCATCCTAATCTGTCACTGGTAGAAAAGACCTGTCTACCTACAATTATAACCATCCTAATCTGTCACAGGTAGAAAAGACCTGTCTACCTACAATTATTGCCATCCTAATCTGTCACAGGTAGAAAAGACCTGTCTACCTACAATTATAACCATCCTAATCTGTCACAGGTAGAAAAGACCTGTCTACCTACAATTATTGCCATCTTAATCTGTCACAGGTAGAAAAGACCTGTCTACCTACAATTATTGCCATCCTAATCTGTCACAGGTAGAATAGACCTGTCTACCTACCATTATAACCATCCTAATCTGTCACAGGTAGAAAAGACCTGTCTACCTACAATTATTGCCATCCTAATCTGTCACAGGTAGAAAAGACCTGTCTACCTACAATTATAACCATCCTAATCTGTCACAGGTAGAAAAGACCTGTCTACCTACAATTACCATCCTAATCTGTCACAGGTAGAAAAGACCTGTCTACCTACCATTATAACCATCCTAATCTGTCACTGGTAGAAAAGACCTGTCTACCTACAATTATTGCCATCCTAATCTGTCACAGGTAGAAAAGACCTGTCTACCTACAATTATAACCATCCTAATCTGTCACAGGTAGAAAAGACCTGTCTACCTACAATTATTGCCATCCTAATCTGTCACAGGTAGAAAAGACCTGTCTACCTACAATTATTGCCATCCTAATCTGTCACAGGTAGAAAAGACCTGTCTACCTACAATTATTGCCATCCTAATCTGTCACAGGTAGAAAAGACATATCTACCTACAATTATAACCATCCTAATCTGTCACAGGTAGAAAAGACCTGTCTACCTACAATTATTGCCATCCTAATCTGTCACAGGTAGAAAAGACCTGTCTACCTACAATTATTGCCATCCTAATCTGTCACAGGTAGAAAAGACCTGTCTACCTACAATTATAACCATCCTAATCTGTAACAGTGAGAAATGACATGTGTGTTCAAAAGCATAAAATATAATTACTCATTACATGATGTGTTCTAACCTTAGTTACACTTAAGTAGTTATATTATATTTAATAAATGCATCAAACACTTCAAGTACATTATCCTTTCATATAACTAATTCACGCAAGGGAGCCTATTCACCCTGGTTGTTGTTAATTTTGTATAGAACTGCTGAGAAATATCCTTACATACAGTTTTATGAGATTCAATCTCCATAAATAGCTCTGCACATGCACTGTACCTTTTGCTATCATCTTGGCGTGGACATGGTCTTCCCCGAGACGTGGCATAATGTGATCTAATGAATAAAGTGCTGCAGCTGCCAGGATTCCTGACTGTCTCATTCCACCGCCTAATGCCTTCCTTAGCCTCAAAGCTCTACATAGCGAACAATATAAGACAACAGGTTGATACATTAAAGATCATTATGACTTCAGGAGTTAATCCACCCAACAAACTTTGACAACAATAACCAGTCTGATCCATAAGCTTTAATATTGTGTTTACATATTTCAATAACACTTAGAAGTAGAATATGCAATATACCAAAGAAAAGTGTAACTTATTCAAAGAACAATGTAATTAGTATATGTTCCTGTATAGACATTGCTATGAAGTGGATGTCAGGGTGTGAGAAAAAGTTAAATGAACCTAGATGTCTGAAATCTAGATTCCTGTACTTCTTATTGGATGGGAAGTATGATGTCTAAGTTAGATACAGATTTGAGTGAATATAGAAGTATTGTGTTTAAGTAATGAGGTACAGTTTAGCACATACCCAGCTATGAAGGCCTTTGTCCCTGCTATAATCGATCCTACTGGAGCAGCTAAACCCTGTCAAAAGAAATTTCATGTTTCCATAAAAGGGTAGAAAACTCAAACAAAAAGATGTTGGTGACCACTGCATTCTGTTTTAATTACTATACACTGCGAAGTTTTTGCCTCCTTTTGTCAATGAACAAAGAGGGTGAATCTAAGATGGCGCAAAAGTTTATTACATTAATATTGACCCTCGTCCTCAGAGGGCGAAATGAATATGAGGGGAATTCATGTAAGATGACAAAAGGGAGAAAATATCCCTGTATATAATACCTGGAAAGTATGGATTTTTCACCAAAGTGCTCAAAATACATTCTATACATTTTGTAACACAACCAGTAGAAGATTTAAGTGTGATGTTTTGATGACTACACATTCACATTCATCAGACAAAATAACCAGCTTGGAGTGTACTAACACTGATGTACGTAGTGTACGAGATGGCAAAGAATCAACTTACCTATGTGTGCTACAGTCGAAAACAGTATGACAAGATGAAAAACTGATTATAGATGAAAAAGAATTCACTATATCATAACAATGTACAATGATCAATTCAGCTATGTTTTGTTTAACACCTGCTTTTTCAAATTTGTTGTTAACTTTCCGAATTGCCAAATCAGGATATCCACATGTTGTCATGGCGCTGTGGATGTGATTTTGTTCTTGCTTCTTGTCTTGTTCTTCTATGACAATCGTTTCACGTCCGTTGAGCAAGATTCATACAACACACAACTTCTGGTGTAAGAGGTGGTGCCAATCGGAAATTGAGGCTTCATTCCATGAGTGTCCTTCTCCTTTAGACCAATACTTTGATTGTATCATCTTCTCTCTTTGCTAAGAGGGTGTTAAAGAATGGCAAAGTGCCACTGCTTCTTTTCCTCACAAAAGAACTTGATGCTGTTGATAGTATCTACAGTATTTATATACCCAGTCAAATTTTTATGTGACCCTTTTTTAACAATTTACAATTTGTCAACAACATGCTTCTTCTACAAACTGGGCTTGCATTCTACAGGGGCCATGACTACATATTGTACAGACAAAAAAGTTGGTTGACTCCTTATCATCCTGTACACTACTTGTCAGCAAACGTATGCTCTACATCGGTCGTTTGTGTAATGTAGGTGATCATGTAGCCATCGCAATGTCACACTCAGATCTACTGTCTATGCTTCTAACATTACAAACCTTAAGAAAATGTTCAGAAATATATTCTATGTAACTTATTTCTTTACAACTTTGAAAATTCTGTTCTTACAGATTCACCACATTGATAATCCATTATAGTATTAAGTATATACTAAGCAATGAATATATGAGAACTAGTAAAACAAATTTAAAGAGGAAAGAAACTGCCAGGCACAAATCACCTTAGAAAAACACATATTGACTGAATCTGCATACTGTAGAATTTCTGACACTGGTATATTTAAGGCAGTTGCTGCATTCAGAATCCTCGCTCCATCCAAGTGAACTAGGAGGTTATTCTCCTGGGCAAGGTTGTACACCTATCACGAAAGAAATATAATATTGAAAATCACTAAACAGATGCTAAGCAGTGGTAAGTAAAACTTTGAAATATCAGATTACAAATATATGTAATCCAACATTATAAGAACTTAGGGTTGATATCTTGCCTGTCTTTACCAACAGAAAATTATCACATTGCATAATTTATATTCCATTAAAAACAGTCTCAAAGTGACACAGTTCTGTCTATTTAATTCTGTTTCTAATATGCAATCATATGTTCATGAAAATTAGCTTGGTTAATTCATATCCCTTCCCTCTGTGGTTGTTGTGTAATGTGGACACAACCCCTTGTCTGTAAAGACATGTCCTTTGATCTGTAATTGTAACCTAGCTCTTAAACTGATATAGCAATGATACTTCAACTTGTAGAATGTATGTACAAAACAACTATGGGTGAAGTTTAACAAAGAGTTAAGCAGGAGAAGTGATGAGAAATGAAGCACCTAGAATAATGTGTAATGGTGAAAAAGTGTTTTTAGTAAAACATGTGACAGTCAGGAGAAAAGCAGAACAAAACAAAAAATATACTCAGATGGGAAAATGGTACGAGTTGTATTCTTATCTGCAATGAGAAAATGACAACCTCTCTCATGTAGCTGACAGGCAGGACTTTGCCACCACAACAGTTTTGGGTATTTTCCAGACATATGAGTCGTGTGTGAGGTTGGTGGGGGTCATCAAGGGGTCGTATTTTACTTTTCAGTTCCTTCAGATTTAGAGTACCATCATCTTGGTTGTGTACTATAGCTGACATCACACCAGCAAACTGTCAATTTCAAGCATATTAACATTTCATTTCAAGCCTACTAAATAACTCTCACAAATCTGTATGTACACAACACACTAATAAAAAGCAATTGTATATTGTTATCTGAACCCTTTCACATCAATAAATACTTAGTTGTCAATCTAAACCATTACTGTTAAAGCTTTTATTTTCCGAAATTAATGAGTTATCATATTTCTCATCTAGATTCTTATAGGTCCTTACATAACTGTTTAGTAAACTACTTACCTTTACTGTACCTTTTTAGATGTCTACAGTGACCTACTTTCTGGTACTGTACCGCTAATGTAAATGTCTATAGTGACCTAGTTACCTGTGCTATCCCTCCTTGCTCATATCGAAAGATATGACTATTATCACCAATAATAGCCTCTACACCTCTTCCTTGGCAATGGTTTAAGACTGTGAATAAAACATTTTAATCTTGAACACAAACATTCATAATTAACCTTTTTACATAGGATGACTATTTGGTAGAATAACTATTTATGTTAAGCAGCAAACAACATTTGTGCAATATTGAGAACAAAAAATTTTGTATTAGTGGTAAACAGATTTCACATATGTCTGTAATATTATGAAGGTTTCTAGTTGATTAGTGCTTGCATTTTCTCCATGCCAGTCCTTTTGTACATTCAATGGAACTGAAACTTGATTGTCTCTTATTCAAACTGGATCCTCATCAAATGTCAATGACTCTTGACATTGGTAAAAATAAATCAATCCATATTTATGAAAAATGATAAGAGATATAACTGAAAACTTTATCATGAACAATAAAAGGTACACTTCATTTAAAACATACTAGTGATTCATCTATTGTAATCTGAATAAAGCTTTAAGGTATGATAAAAAATTCCTAATATGTGTATAGTGAATTCTGTTAAACTAAAAACAAAAAAACAAAAAACGAAAACAAAAATTTAGTGATGAGAATTTAAAAGAATCTTCCTAGATTAGTTCCCTAACTTTTCCTAGGGATAATTTCTCAGGAACTAACTATGTTGTACATAAATGTACTTTACAGTAATGCAAATAACATATTTGATCAATCTTTTTTTTTAAATATACTTACTAGAAATAAGGTTCCCCATTGTTCCAGTTGGCACAAATAGCGCTGCTTCTTTCCCGAACAAATCAGCACATCTTTTTTGTAATTCTGAAAATATTCAGTAGTGAACTAAGACAGTAAAGTCATGACACTGTATGGGGAAAAAAGGAGGAAACATTCATTTATTTATTTAATGGGTTCTACATCTGCTATTACTGCCTTTCAGTTGACAAAAAATATAAGAAAGTAAGCAGTCAGGGAAACTGATGAAGTGATGGGAGAGAGTGGGATACAGAAATGTGGTAGAGAGGGGTATCTATACATTTTGTACTACGAAACCTGTTCTCAAACTATAATTTTGAAGATCACCTCCTTGTCCAAATTATAGCTCTAACCTAACAATAACTAGGTACATTTTAGCATGAGGACTGGTTAAGGACAGAGAAGAAGAGGATCCTACATTATATGAATTCTTTTATGTTTATAATATTTTTGAAGTCTGTCAAAATTACTTCATAGATAGTCCTTATTGCTAATCTAACCCTGGACTGCTATTGTCAGGCCCACTCTTTTTCTATGAACTGCACCATTTTAAGTCCCTTCAAACAGACTGAGTGTGAGTGGTTAATTGTAAGTAGGGTGTAGGTGCTGGTATGTTTTCTTTCCCTTTCTGTCTGCCCACTGAAAACTGATGGCTTTAACTATGTCCATACTTTCTATTATTCCACACCTTTCATGGTATCATGTAACTGTTCGCTTTAACTATGTCCATACTTTCTGTTATTCCACACCGTTCCTGGTATCAGGTAACTGTTCGCTTTAACAATGTCCATACTTTCTGTTATTCCACACCTCTCATGGTATCATGTAACTGTTCGCTTTAACTATGTCCATACTTTCTGTTATTCCACACCGTTCATGGTATCATGTAACTGTTCGCTTTAACTATGTCCATACTTTCTGTTATTCCACACCTTTCATGGTATCATGTAACTGTTCGCTTTAACTATGTCCATACTTTCTGTTATTCCACACCTTCATGGTATCATGTAACTGTTCGCTTTAACTATGTCCATACTTTCTGTTATTCCACACCTCTCATGGTATCATGTAACTGTTCGCTTTAACTATGTCCATACTTTCTGTTATTCCACACCGTTCCTGGTATCATGTAACTGTTCGCTTTAACTATGTCCATACTTTCTGTTATTCCACACCGTTCCTGGTATCAGGTAACTGCTCGCTTTAACAATGTCCATACTTTCTGTAAAACCACACTGTTCGTGGTATCACGTAACTGTTTGCTTTAACAATGTCCATACTTTCTGTAAAACCACACTGTTCGTGGTATCACGTAACTGTTTGCTTTAACAATGTCCATACTTTCTGTAATCCCACACTGTTCGTGGTATCACGTAACTGTTTGCTTTAACAATGTCCATACTTTCTGTAATCCCACTCTGTTCATGGTATCACGTAACTATTCACATTTAGACATCTATTTATTTATGATTGTGAGGTTAGTATTAGAAGAGGTTGGAAGTGTTTGTAGGGTTTACTAAGTGGTTAAGAAAATAAGACTTGTCAGGATTTTAGGATACCTATTGACTGAATGAGTACTATTTGACATTTATGATAATTGAGTAATGGGGGTAGGGGTGAGAGTAAAAGATGACTATTGGGTGATGGAGAGAACAACCAATAGGACTGGTAACTGTCAATTCACCATACTTCTACTAGAGATTACCTACACCTGTATAACTCTATAAGTGTATACCTAGACCTGTATACATTTACTAGTGATTATCTTGACCTGTATAAATCTACCAGTGAGAACCTAGACTTGGCTAACTCTACCAGTGAGTGCCTAGACCTGTATAACTCTACCAGTGAGTACCTAGACCTGTATACCTCTATCAGTTAATACCTAGACCAGTATAACTTTATTAGTGATTACTTAAACCTGCATACCTCTACCAGTGATAACCTAGACTTGGCTAACTCTACTAGTGATTATCTTGACCTGTATACCTCTACCAGTGATAACCTAGACTTGGCTAACTCTACTAGTGATTATCTTGACCTGTATACCTCTACCAGTGATAACCTAGACTTGGCTAACTCTACTAGTGATTATCTTGACCTGTATACCTCTACCAGTGAGAACCTAGACTTGGCTAACTCTACTAGTGATTATCTTGACCTGTATACCTCTACCAGTGAGAACCTAGACTTGGCTAACTCTACTAGTGATTATCTTGACCTGTATACCTCTACCAGTGAGAACCTAGACTTGGCTAACTCTACTAGTGGTTATCTTGACCTGTATACCTCTACCAGTGAGAACCTAGACTTGGCTAACTCTACTAGTGATTATCTTGACCTGCATACCTCTACCAGTGAGTACCTAGACCTGTATAACTCTGCCAATGATTATCCAGACATATAATCCTCTACCACTGATTACCTACAGCTGTAGCCCTCTACTAGTAATAACTCTGACCTGTATATCTCTACTAATCTTACAGTATATGCATACAAAATAATGACATTCAGCTTACCATTGACTGTAGGATCCTCTCCAAAAACATCATCCCCTACCTCAGCTGTGGCCATAGCTTGCCTCATGCCAGGAGTAGGTTTTGTGAGAGTGTCACTCCGCAAGTCCACTATCCAGTCCCCCTGGTCCTTCTGAACTTTAGTATTACTCCCCATCTGGTAGCCTCTAGACTGTCTATATTTCAACAGCTGAAGGTCAATTGAATGTCTTCTTAACACCTTCTGACTGCTTCTCGTCAACTGAAAAATGCATCTCCCCATGTGTGTACGAATCATCATGGTTGGCGCTAAAAAGTTGAGAAAGAGTTGACATTCGACAGTGATATACTGTCTTATCTATAGAGGTTATTGAGAAGTCCATTAGAAAAATGTTGCCATGAGATGGACGGCATGGCATAGTATAATACAAGCACACTTTAATTCAAACCCTGTAAATCCAAACTTTAGATGAATGGCGTGTTTTAGTATACATGTAACCCTGGTAAAATACTAGCCGCAATATACCACATGGCTAGGGAGAACTACTCTTTAGCTCGATTGATTGAGCGTCAGACTAGTAAGACAGGGATCCTGGGTTCGATTCCTAGCGTAGGCAATGGGATGAAAATGACCTCTGTTACATACATGACCAGAGATAATCGGTCGATCACCCATTCAAATTTCAACAGATGGGGCATTAGGCTTTGGAAAATACTAACCTTTTAATTCGTGCTGACTCAGCGGGAGATAATTTTTCACTAACAGAAAAAGGACCAAGTGAAGACTTATTAAATGGTAGGGAAGCGAAGCAACGTGGTAAATGAAATGGCAAGGATGATATTTTCCTTACATTTCTCTTCTGATGTCATGATTTACATTACCAAAAAATACACAATATCACTTATGACAGTCATACTTACGGGCGTAAGTGATGTCAGATAATTCTTCTAACCAATATCATTTATATTTTGTAAGGCGATGATTATGTATATTGTGCTGGTTACTTAGTTTTGGCCAGTATTCAATAATGAAATCAGCGTCAGCATCAAAGTCCAGTTAATAGATTGGAGTTATTCCCCTTGGTTATGAAAGCCTATACGTGATTGGTTGAATTTTAATAGTAAACCCAATCACAGATGCTGTACTAGTTGTACACGAATATTATTTTCATGGCTGTCATAAGTTGACACCTACTTCTGAAAAATGTTTGTTTGATCAAAGTTTATTCGTTGAAGCGGATGAATTGTTCGCGATGTTTTCCAGATCGAAGGGATGGTTGCCCGGACTATTGTCCAAACCTAAAAATCCACATTCCTTGGAACATTTAAAGTAAGTACTGTTGAATGACCTCGTCCTGTCGCCTGATCAGAATAGTTGTCACAAATCACGCGTTTCGCTGTAATTCGTGTTCAGTTCTCTTTTCTGACTGGATTTTATAGATCATCTTTTCATTCGTTAATCTATGTACGTGTTGTATTTGTATTATTGTTTGATTATTGGTCGAAAACTTAATTGCTGCTGCTGCTGCTGAAGATGATGATGATGATGATGATGATGATGATGATGATGATGACGATGATAATCATGATAACGATAACGTTGTTGCCATTGCTTTCAATACATTAAAATGCTACGTATTCAAGGCAAGGACAAAAAAGTATCGACGGCTCCATTGTTTAATTTGTCAAAATATGATTTGGATAAAGTAGACCTGGAACAGGTCCAAGAGGAGAGACATTGGCGGTATCATTGACTAGACACTGGTTCGTCACTTGAGAAGCACATTGAATTACAGATATCAAATTCAACATAATGGTTCGGGATACCATTAAGGTCAGTTAAATTTATGGACCAATAGGAAAGTGATATGTAGAAGTATTTATGATATGCACCTATCATGAGCTAGTCACAAATGATTCCCTGATTCTGAAGTTTTTCATTAACAAGAGTTCAGGTAAACTCCAGGAAGCTGGTGCACCAATCATGTTGTAGATATGTGTATATGGAACAGGCTCCTCAATGATCTTGTTACTGCCACATCAGTGAAACAGATGGGATATAGATGAGACCAGTGTTGGAAAAATCATTCCATCAAATTATACTTAAGCTAGGAATCTATCAGCTGCACTGGAAACAATATTTGTGATAGTGAGAAAGAAGATGATGAGCTGATTGTAGAGAAATAGATGTCCCTGCATCTGTCCCAACAACAATATACTGATGATGATGAATTGATGATAATGATTTTTGTGCATATCTGTTTACTGATACATTTATGCAGTGATACTTTGACAGTTACAGTTATCCATTACGTTGGTTTGTTTTAAGGTCATGGAGATTACATCACCTCAGTCATCATTTCACACAGTGAGACAACAACATACTCTTGGTCTATTAATAACATCATGATTTCAGGGAGGGTAGATCATGCAATATCCAGCTTATCAAGTTGGTGGATGACCTGACCAACATCATCAGGCATGCCACAAAACTGATATTCTGATCATGGTAAACCATAGTTTGCATGTCCACAAACTTGGTGAACATGGCATCAGATTGAAGATCAACAATATGATTCAGAACTGGCTAGCAGGTAGATCCCAAATTATTGCACTAGAAGAGGAAAACTTTACATCATTGAGTGTTGTCTCTGTAGTCCAACAGGGATCAGTACTTAGTCCGAATCTCTTCAGCAGTTGGCATAAAAATGTCATATGATAAAAGCGGATAAGCCAACCAGTCATTTTTTATGTTATTGGTGTATAGGAATCTGCCCCGTTAATAATGGAGAATAAATATGATAATTGTGTTTATTTCATTATTATCAATAAACCAGGTGGATGGCTATGATTGATATGTACAAATTCACAATCAGAATATTTTTATCGACTGCAAAAAAGAAAAAGAGGACTAGACAGTATTGTAATCAGTCCTGTACCCTTCATACAAATAAAGATGGTCCTGATTTGATTGCTGAGTATCAGTGATATACCTTTTTTGTATTGTACTTGAAAATGAAGCTTAAAACAAAGACCACAAATTTTATGTTTATATACACTGCTATGGACTGTGATTTACACAAGGCTAGGTGCTAGTACTGAACAATCTGGAATTGGCCTGTTGCACTTATAACAAGTCTGATATAACCAGCAACTAGGCAAGGAAAGTAATCAACTGATGATTTAAGACAAGAATTGGGAGACATGTTTAGCCATTTACATGCTTTGTTAACATTTATTAAATCAATATTCTATCTATTAGGCTGGACAAGTAATTCTTTAAGTTTTATATATGTAACTTCTCACTATATGTTATCTGCTGACTAATCTTAATAATGACCCATATATATATACTGCAGGATATGACATCGTTGTGTAGAAATATTTGGTCAACTACAAATTAGTGGAAATTCTTGTGATCTGATATTATGGCTAAAAAAAAATGATCACAGTCTTGAATTTATTTAGACAAATGCACACTTAATTGTTGAATTGTTTTTACCCCCAGGTACTTGTACAATTTGCTGTTGAAGAACCAAATAGTGCATGAACACAATAGAAGTTTGCTGGTTGAAACACTGAGGTCTATTTCAGAAATCCTAATTTGGGGTGATCAAAATGACAGCAGTGTATTTGAGTAAGTAATATTTGTTGAATCGTCTAAACAATTGTAAGCAAGATTAGAGTAAGCAAACACGACCCTTATAAATTTTCAATCAGTGAGATACCTTTTAAGAAAATCTATTCTTTTAAAATTTCTCCTGTTTTTAGCTTTGAAATATGCACATGATATACATAAAATGCTTTCACTGTTTCATTTAATTTTTCTTTTTCAATTCCAGCTTTTTTTTGGAAAAGAACATGCTTTCATTTTTCTTGCGATACCTGCGACAGAAATCAGGACGATTTATTTGTGTGCAGCTTCTACAGACCTTGAACATCTTGTTTGAAAACATTAGCAACGAAACATCCTTATGTAAGAATATATTTTAATGCTTCTTTTCAGAAGGAATGTGTTGGAATGTGGAAGTTGATACTTCTTTTAACTGTAACTAAATATGAAAATCAGATTGGAAAACAATCTTAACATTGATAATTACTTTGAACAAAAAAAAAATCTTTAGAATGTAATGTACATGCATTGTTGTAAACTAAGATCATATTTCGTAACTTATACATTTTATATTGTACATTGCACTACCATGAAATCCAAAATCTTGCCAGTACATGTCTGGGGAAAGCGATATATAAGGATGTGATGAATTATGCCCCAATACCTAATTTATTTTCTTAAAATATTTTCAAAAGAAATTATGTTTTGATTAATTGTTTTCATCTATTTTCCAGATTACCTATTGTCAAACAATCACATCAATGCTATCATAGTCCATAGATTTGATTTCTCGGATGAAGAGGTATGTATGAAAACTTGTGAAACTTATGAAAGAAAATGTATTTCAGATTTTCTTTAAAATTGTGAAATTTAAGTTAATTCATGATGAATTTTAACAATTAAACGAAGCAAGATACACTTTAGGAATGCTACATATTCCAGTGTTCAGAGAGAGAAAAAGCTCAGAATATCATTGAACACTATCACTATTTACACTTTCTATTGATGTCAGCCTTTAACCATTTTTAAAAATTATTTAGATAATTCACCAAAACATCAGGTTAAAAATCAATATTAATCCAAGCTTTTCGTCTGTTGTAGGTCATGGCTTATTATATCTCATTCCTTAAAACCCTTTCTTTAAAGTTGAATCGTCACACAATTCATTTCTTTTACAATGAGGTAAGTGTGGATATTTAATGATAAACAAAACAAACACTTCAGAATAACGTTTTACAAAAAACAAAACTAAATAAGTTTGAAAGGATGATAGATTAGTCATAGTAAGTTGAATGTCACAGACCTTAATGCAGTAGTATGTTCATTTATTGCATTAAGCAAATTCATTGTACATTTCAAAGTAAGAAGAGCAGTCATAGGTGAAATTTGATATTCTAAGATACTCTTACAATTGCCTTGTCTACCAAGAGTTTGACATAGGTACAAAGATACCCAAATGTCATATGAAATAGGGGTTGTCTGAAGTGTTATTTGTCTGACGAGATCATTCTATACAAAATATGATTTAAGTCAATTCTAACGCTGGATTATACTATTGGGAAGGTATTTTGATAGCAAAAGAAAAAAAATAATTATATCATTTGAATGTATGTAGTAAAACAAATCTGAAGTTAATTGAAATAAACTTTTTTGAAATATACTTTTTATCCTATTTGAATCTAGCACACCAATGATTTTGCCCTGTATACAGAAGCTATAAAGTTTTTTAATCACTCGGAGACCATGGTGAGAATAGCAGTGCGAACCATTACCTTAAATGTCTTCAGAGGTATGTGCATTAAGCCCAATTGAAAATTTCATTATACTGGAAAACATTGTTTCATGTAAATTGGATTAGAGGTAATAAAGATTTTCTTAAATTATTAATGTGTGTAAATTATCACAATGTACATTTTTACAGTAACAGAATGAGAGGTCACAATTTGAGGAGCATTGTGTTTGAATAATGAAAATGAATGATGGTTGATTTTTTTCAGTTCAAGACAATGCCATGTTAAGATATATTAAGGATCGCACAGCAGCCCCATACTTTTCCAACCTTGTATGGTTTATAGGCATGCATATACTAGATCTGGACAGTTGTGTACGCAACGATGCAGGGTAGGTGTGAGATATGTACCAGGTCAAACTGTCAATATATGGAACAATCTTCCCTCAGATGTTGTAAATTCAAGAACTGATAAGCAATTTCAATATAAATTAGATGAATACTGGAAATATCAACCACAAAAATATTGTTTTATTCTCATGTTTGTCATATGTCTGTAAAATAAGGTTTAAGACCATAGATATTCGTATTTTCTAGTCTCCAGAACCAATTCAAATATATTTATATTGTAGACATCAGAGCCGTAACTGGTTGTCTGACCTGGTTGCTGAGCACTTAGACCACCTCCATTATATGAATGATATCCTGAATATCCAGATAGATTCACTAAATGATGTGTTGACAGACCAGCTCCTGAATAGACTTCTCATTCCTCTCTATGTTTACTCCCTGACCATGAGGAAGAAACATTCTGATAGAAAGGTACAAGTCGCTTACTTTATTTCATTTGTTGTCCTTTATTTCAGAAGTTTTACATTAGATATTAAGTATTTGAATACAACTCTAAATATCATATACTATTATTGTAAAAGTCTGCAGAGTTTCAGACAAATCTTTGTCTATGATATCAAGATAGATTATTTTTCTGTGTGTCCTGTTAGTCAGGACAGGTTACAATACATTACTTTATCCTGTGGAAGAGATTTACTTTTATGCAATATTTTGACTTTATTTCTGTTTCAGCGTGAGAAAAAACATGTATCATCTGTCGTGTCTTTGTTCCTGCTATCACAGGTAGGGCTTTACTTAGAAATAGATTTTCTTTAGTTACACTTTTACTGCTGTCACACGTAGAGGATACACACAGGTAAAGCATGTATCATCTAAAGTCACACTTTTACTGCTGTCACGGGTAAGATAAAATTCACACAAATACATTTTTTTTCATCTGTAGTCACACTTTTACTGCTGTCACGGATAAGATAAAATTCACACAAATACATTTTTTTTCATCTGTAGTCACACTTTTACTGCTGTCACGGATAAGATAAAATTCACACAAATACAATTTTTTATCTGTAGTCACACTTTTACTGCTGTCACGGATAAGATAAAATTCACACAAATACAATTTTTTATCTGTAGTCACACTTTTACTGCTGTCACGGATAAGATAAAATTCACACAAATACAATTTTTTATCTGTAGTCACACTTTTACTGCTGTCACGGATAAGATAAAATTCACACAAATACATTTTTTTTCATCTGTAGTCACACTTTTACTGCTGTCACGGGTAAGATAAAATTCACACAAATACAATTTTTCATCTGTAGTCACACTTTTACTGCTGTCACGGGTAAGATAAAATTCACACAAATACAATTTTTTATCTGTAATTACACTGATGAACACAAGTTCTGTCCAGGACTCTTCTTTGTTCTCAAATTTTAATTTTTCAGTTAATTAATGAGCAATAAATCAACGCTTGATAAGTTGATATTGAGATAAAATTCACACAAATACAATTTTTTATCTGAAGTTCTCAAATTTTAATTTTTCAGTTAATTAATCTTCAATTGATATTGAGAATGACTTATCATTGTTGTGAATGAGCCTGAAGTTTAATACTGAGTATGAAACTGTGTCTGTTGTCAGGTGTTCCTGATCATCCGGTACTCACCACTGGTTAGACAGCTAGCAGAAATCATATTCCAGGGAGATGTAGATATACTGCGACTTGAGTCATCGGAGGAAATGCCAACAAGTGTGAGTAGCTTTTCATTTCTCAATGTTCATTTTGCACAGTCACTCAGTACTGATACCAACCTAGAAATGTTGTTGTGAACTCCCAACAACAACTTCTACATGTTTTTTGTTCCAGCTTGAAACTACCCAATGTTGTTCATCTGACTGTTACAGAAATTAGGTGCTGATCAAAGTGTGACATTCAACTCAAATTATGACAATGATTGCAGTAGATGATTGTTTATTTTTTATTTTTTTGTTTAATTTTTCTCTTGAAATGTGTCCTCTTAGGTACACTGCTGTAACCAAGATCCACTACCTTAACAGCACCTTCTATTAAATAGGTTTTTAATTCCATGGAAATATGTTACATACTTCATAAAACTGTAAAAATAAAACAAAACAAAACATAGAAAACACTTCAATCCTGAAATACTTACAATTATTTATGCATTTCCAATTGAATTCATTATTTGTTCATTAAAAAAATTCTGGAAAATCCACTTTTTTTATTAAACCACTTCCATTATATGTTGATATACAGCGGGTGAGAGCATTCACTGCTCCTGAGGAAACTTTGGAGAAGACGTTTGGAACACACAGTGTGCGTTCCTTTGCTCAGCCACCTGAGGAAGAGAGTCCACGGATACAGGAGGGAAACTCCACGTTCTTTACGAAAGAGACCACAACGAGTACAACCGCTGGAACAGAAGCAGTCTCCTCTCCTGAAACTGGTGATATAGTTATTCCCCTTTACTCAAGTTTGAATGTATACTATGTGATGTAAGGTACCATACGTAAGTGAATATATTGATATAGGAAAGCAATTTCCACTTTTGACATATTTCTACTTTTATGAGCTGTTCATGGATGCATGAAGTTTATTTTTTACATACAATTCTTCAATATTCCTGTTTCTGATTACTATCAAAGGTAGGTTATGAAACATTCAGTCACAAATTTTATAGTACACTTCATTCTAAATCATATATGATGACAATTGTTTTGGCTATAAGCTAAATGTTTCTCTACTTTTATGCAGAACAAGTTGCTAGTCCCGTGAGTGAAGCAGTGTCAGGTGACAATGATTTATCAAGTCCCAACCAAAATTCAACAGATGAAGAAAAACTTCTCAATTCATTAAGTCGCACTCAGCGCATGGAACTTCCATCATCTATCTCTATAGAACAGAGACAAGCTGCATTTTCTCTCAACAATAGGTAACATGCTTTATAAGCAGGGTATTGGTTCATTTTCAATGAATATATATATATATATATGTATTTAAGTTTGATAAATTTTAAGAATCTGGTTGATTGTGTTATGTGGTTACAAAGTACTGTAAACACAGTGATTTCAAAAGGCAAATTATGTGCATGGAGTGTTATTTAGATTATCAATATACCTTCATATATTTAATGTATATTTTAATATTTATACAGTTGAAACTCGTCTTGAGTCGAAATTCTGTTTTAGTCAAAATAATTTCCAAGTCAGGAGATTTTTCCTTCTATATCTTTGTAATTTTAGTTCGGTTGGGATTTTTCAGTCCCTCCTGTTGCAAATCAAGGGAAAAGTAATTTGTTGTCTTAAAATTATTTTATTATTAGATTGATAATTTGTTGAAAGAATAATTCAAAATCCAATTGCCAGTTACGTCTGTTGTCTCAAATCTTTGCCGGTCATCCAGTTTTTAAGCATGCAACTTTGAGCGAGGTCACGATTGACTGAATCTTAAGCAAAGAACATTTTCATGGAGCGTAGAGGTAGCTCAGTGCCAAATTTAATTAAATTCCGTTTACATGCCAGAAAGTTACTTTACGAAACTCGAACTTGCGTTTCTTTTTTCCACTAGTTTATATAATCCAGGGAAAGTGTATGTATTGTTTCATTTTTCTTAATTGAAAGAACACAGCGGGGAAGGTGTTGACATTGAAAATGAAAATAAATAACTGGCACTACAAAAACCTTAACATCTGTTTTACAATTTTTTAAGTATTATAATTCTATTATAGTTTGCAAAATTTATTTCAGTTAGATAAATCATGTAGAATAACATGTGAGGTAGATTTGATGAGTTTCCTTGGCGTGGTTAATTAGGGAGGGTCAAAATCATTGACAGTTTTAGGCAAATTAAGTTGTATTATTTCATCTTTTAATAGACACACATAAGTAGTCCACACTATCAGTCTGTGTTAGTTTTATGTAAAAATCAGAACTGAAAAAATATGATACGAAAGCTAAAATATACATTTATTCAAAATGCGTCCAGCGCTATTGTTGCAATTAATTGTATATAAATACTATTTAAGTGTGATTATACTTTGTATTTTGAATTGATGCAGAAAAAAAAATTTAATGGTTATAGTTGTTACTTTGAAATTGTTCAGTTTAGATATAACAATATTATTTGCAGGCCATATTTAGAATCCATCTTTAACGCTTTGGAATGTACAGAGAATGACTATGAGGCCCTGTTTGGTCTTTGTCTTTTATATGCCATGGGACACAATGATGGTAAGTTGTATTCATAGCATGGCAGAACACACAGCATGGCAGAACACACAGCTTGTACATATATCAGTCAGCTTACTAAATACAACACACTTACAATATCAGTTGTAATCGCAGAAAGACAAAATGCAGCTTGTGTGTACTACATAGCTTACTAAATATAGCACACTTATATTGTTAGTAGTAATTGCAGAAAGACAGAAGATGAAGTATGTGTGTACTACACAGCTTACTAAATATAGCATACTTGTTTTTGGGTTGTATTTGCAGAAAGACAGAACATGCAGATTGTATGAACTACACTGCTCAATAAATATAACATGCATGAGTTATCTGGTTTTGTTTTACAAACCGTAATTGAAGACAATGATCGATAAATACATGCTGGGGACTACAACATCATAGATTAGTTCATTGTGTTGTTGTGACAAATGGAAACATTTATTTTTAATCTGTAATCTATTTTTATCACATTTATTTATACAAGACTGTAATTCAGATCATTGCAAATCTCATTACATTTATGAAACATAATCTATTTTATCTGTCAAATAGACAAAGTAGTAACTTATACCCTAATCCTTAGTTATGTTACAATCAATAACACATAACTTATTATAAATAATAATCCTTTATAAGAAACGGCAATAAAGGATTGTCTTCATATCTCATTGATATGTCGTTTCACTGTTTTTCTATAACCTTGACCTTGCTCAGAGGGTATGGTATATTCTATTTGATGTTGTTGGTGTGTCTACATATATGTTTCGGTGTATCAGTGTATTTCTGTGTTTTAGCTATGTCACAATGTATTTTGACATTTTGGTATATAACAGTGTTATTCGGTGTTAGGGTTTATAGCAGTGTATTTCTAGTTTTTTAGCCCACCATTATCAGATGGTGGGGTATTCAAATCGCCCTTCCGTCCGTGGTCTGTGGTCCGTCCGTCCGTCAACAATTCTTGTTACCGCTATTTCTGGAAAAGCACTGGATGGATCTTTCTCAAATTTCATATGCAGTTTCCCCTTGGTCCCTTGTTGTGCATTGTACCTTTTTTTGACTGATTCGAATTCAAGATGGCCGACAGGCAGCCATCTTGGATTTTGGAAGTAAAAGTTTGTTACTGCTATTTCTTGGAAAGTACTGGATGGATCTTTCTCAAATTTCATATGCAGGTTCCCTTTGGTTCCAAGTTGTGCATTATACCTTTTTGGACTGATCCGAAATCAAGATGGCTGAGAGGCAGCCATCTTGGATTTTGAGAGTAAAATCTTGTTACTGCTATATCTGAGGAAGTACTGGATGGATCCTTCTGATATTTCATAGATATTGGTTTCCCTTAGTCCCTAGTTGTGCATTGTACCTTTTTTGGACTGATTTGAAATCAAGGTGGCCCACAGGCAGCCATCTTGGATGTCGACAGTAATACAGCACAAGCATATTGTCCATTATCAACCTGTAACTGACTGCTATCTAATAATACTTTGGGATCTTTTTCAAATGATATTTGCTAATAGGTGCTTAATAAAAATATCTTATGCCATCATTGAGTACATTCAATGAAGACCAGTTCATGAACATTTACAACACCTGTAACAAACAAACAAAAAATAAACAAATCTTCAAGAACTGAAAACAGATCTTCAAATGGTGGGCGCCAAGATCCCTCTGGGATCTCTTGTTGGTATGTGTTAGTGTATTTCTAAACTTAAGATGTGTTTCAGGTATGTGTCTGTGTATTTCTGTGTTTCAGGTATGTGTCTGTGTATTTCTGTGTTTCAAGTATGTGTCTGTGTATTTCTGTGTTTCAGGTATGTGTCTGTGTATTTCTGTGTTTCAGGTATGTGTCTGTGTATTTCTGTGTTTCAGGTATGTGTCTGTATTTCTGTGTTTATAGGTATGTGTCTGTGTATTTCTGTGTTTTAGGTATGTGTCTCTGTATTTCTGTATTTCAGGTATGTGTATGTGTCTGTCTTTCTGTGTTTATAGGTATGTGTCTGTGTATTTCTGTGTTTTAGGTATGTTTCTGTGTATTTCTGTGTTTTAGGTATGTGTCTGTATTTCTGTGTTTCAGGTATGTGTCTGTGTATTTCTGTGTTTATAGGTATGTGTCTGTGTATTTCTGTGTTTTAGGTATGTGTCTGTATTTCTGTGTTTTAGTTATGTGTCTGTGTATTTCAGGTATGTGTATGTGTCTGTGTCTTTCTGTGTTTATAGGTATGTGTCTGTGTATTTCTGTGTTTCAGGTATGTGTGTGTGTATTTCTGTGTTTCAGGTATGTGTGTGTGTATTTCTGTGTTTCAGGTATGTGTCTGTGTATTTCTGTGTTTCAGGTATGTGTGTGTGTATTTCTGTGTTTCAGGTATGTGTCTGTGTATTTCTGTGTTTCAGGTATGTGTCTGTGAATTTCTGTGTTTCAGGTATGTGTGTGTGTATTTCTGTGTTTCAGGTATGTGTCTGTGTATTTCTGTGTTTCAGGTATGTGTGTGTGTATTTCTGTGTTTCAGGTATGTGTCTGTGTATTTCTGTGTTTCAGTAATGTGTCTGTGTATTTCTGTGTTTTAGGTATGTTTCTGTGTATTTCTGTGTTTCAGGTATGTGTCTGTGTATTTCTGTGTTTCAGGTATGTGTCTGTGTATTTCTGTGTTTCAGGTATGTGTGTGTGTATTTCTGTGTTTCAGGTATGTGTCTGTGTATTTCTGTGTTTCAGGTATGTGTCTGTATTTCTGTGTTTTAGGTATGTGTCTGTGTATTTCTGTGTTTCAGGTATGTGTCTGTGTATTTCTGTGTTTCAGGTATGTGTCTGTGTATTTCTGTGTTTCAGGTATGTGTCTGTGTATTTCTGTGTTTCAGGTATGTGTCTGTGTATTTCTGTGTTTCAGGTATGTGTCTGTATTTCTGTGTTTTAGGTATGTGTCTGTGTATTTCTGTGTTTTAGGTATGTGTCTCTGTATTTCTGTATTTCAGGTATGTGTATGTGTCTGTCTTTCTGTGTTTATAGGTATGTGTCTGTGTATTTGTGTTTCAGGTATGTGTCTGTGTATTTCTGTGTTTCAGGTATGTGTCTGTGTATTTCTGTGTTTCAGGTATGTGTCTGTATTTCTGTGTTTTAGGTATGTGTCTGTGTATTTCTGTGTTTTAGGTATGTGTCTCTGTATTTCTGTATTTCAGGTATGTGTATGTGTCTGTCTTTCTGTGTTTATAGGTATGTGTCTGTGTATTTGTGTTTTAGGTATGTTTCTGTGTATTTCTGTGTTTCAGGTATGTGTCTGTGTATTTCTGTGTTTCAGGTATGTGTCTGTGTATTTCTGTGTTTCAGGTATGTGTCTGTGTATTTCTGTGTTTCAGGTATGTGTCTGTGTATTTCTGTGTTTTAGGTATGCCACACTGTATTTTGGTGTTAAGGTTTATAACAGTGTATTTTGGTGTTAAGGTTTATAACAGTGTATTTTGGTGTTAAGGTTTATAACAGTGTATTTCTATAATTTTGGTAGGTGTAAGTGTATTTCTTAACTTTAATGTGCATCAGAATGTTTCTATCTTTATGGTGTGTGTCAGTGTATTTCTGTTCTTTAGATGTGCGTCCATGTATTTCTGTGTTTAGGTATGTCATAGTGTATGATGATATTATAGATTTTTTATCATTATTAAACCATCATTTTTGTTGTATCAGTATATATACTGTTGTTATAGTTGTGTTAAAATGTGTGATGGATTTTTTTGATGTTTCACAATGTTATGATGTTCTTGGTATGTTATTTTATGTGTTCATTAGAAGAATATAATGCAACCTCTTTGTGTGTTATTGGATTTTTACATATGCCATGCTCTCATGATTCAAGTTGGTAGTTGTCTGGATCTTCAATGCTGTCTGTATGTTAGTAGTTATTAATGACTAAACCATGTGATTGTACAATAGTGTAAGTGGCAGTAGGTTAGTGCAATGTATGATACTGTAAATGACAGAAGGTTAGTGCAATGTATGATACTGTAAATGGCAGTAGGTTAGTGCAATGTATGATACTGTAAATGACAGTAGGTTAGTGCAATGCATGATACTGTAAATGGCATTAGGTTATTGCAATTTATGATACTGTAAATGACAGTAGGTTATTGCAATGTATGATATTGTAAATTGCACTGGATTAGTGCCTTATGTGGTGCTGTAAATGGCAGTTAAGTTTGTGCCTTGTGTGATATTCTTATTGGCACAAGGTTAGTGCCTTGCATGTTTAGGTCAATATTTATTTACTTTTCTATGTAATTATCACACTTTATCCTATTATTAGGATCATATTAACATAATAAAAAATTACCATTATGATGTAAAATGTGATTTTTGGCTATGATTCTTACTCAATTATTACTTTTTGTATAAATAGTCTTTATAAATCTGATGTTTATTAAAACTTCATTTATATTGTATTTAACATTAACTCTTCTGCATTGTATGAAATCTTAGCAATAATGAAATTAATAGAATTGTTTGAAAGTGATTAGAAAGAAATTGCAAAATTCTGTTTTGAGATGTTATTAAACCAGCTACATTGATTTGATATATGGATATCTAAAAATGTGGTTTTTTTTTCAGGTCTTCACCAAGGCTTGATGGATTCAGTACTCATGCCTACTGAGAAATGTGAGGTGAGTGTGTTGTACATGTTCGGATATCTCCTGTTATTTATACCTCAATTCACCATATATTTGATTTATTATAAAATAAGTTTTAAAGAGTTCATTATTAAAGATTTTGCAGTAATGTGATATAAAATTGATAAAAAAATGAGAGGAAAGAAGGAAACCTGTTTTTTTTATGTGTCACAGACAAAAGACCATTACAATGTGGCTTTAGTGGAAAGATTGATCAAAATCATCACCCTGGCATGTCAGCATGGTGAGTATGTCGTTCTTAATAACATATGTCCTGGCACTTCTCATTCTGGACATGAACAAAATGTGTTTATACACATGTTACCTGTATAGAGCTTTGCTGATATTAACCATGCTACATAAGACTGACAAAAGTAAAAACTTCTAAAATATATTTCATAAAAAATCTCATACAAAATGAAAACTTTGTTATTTATGATATAGTCTACTGTGTCCTGTAGAATCCAAACAGATCTAACATACAGAGGACCATATCTTGTGACATTTCTCAACCAGAATTTGTTGTGACAAGTTTCTGAATATATAAATATTCATAGGTATTAATATTGCAATTAATTTCAAGTGTTATATACTTCATGATGCGAATATATGATGTGTAGAAACTTACGCTGTTTTAATGGCTGTTGACAAGCCATGTAAATAAAATGTGATATATAAGATTTCTGATGAATCATTTAAAATTATGTAGTACACACTAAAGGTTTTTCATTTAAAATGATGCATGAAGTTTGACGATCAAGAAAGAACACCTGAAAATAAGTTCATGTTCTACTGTATCTGCATTTATTAGGATACCAAATTGATTTGAAGAGAGTAAAACTTGTGTTATATTACAGAGAGTAAGGTGAGGCTGTGTACTCTAGAGTTGGCCATTCAACTACTAAAACAATTGGTATATACCCCAGACAAGTCTTACCTCCAGGACCGCCACCTTGCATGTGTAGAGGCCGCCCGCGAGTGTAGCACCCAGCTTCTCAGGAATTTTTATAAGGTATGCTAGGTTATTAACCTCCTAATCAAACCATTGAAATATCAGACTGTAAGCTATTGATGGTCTACTGATGGATTTATAGGTTAACAGGCTTACAAATTATAGGCATACATTGATTAACAAGCACTGTATCAGTCACAAGAAATACTCATCTAGCCAAGGATTTTAATAGCAGGTAGATTTGTACACTTGTAACATCTTCTGAGTAAAATATTTCAAACGTTAAAAGATGTTGAGTAATAAATTTATATATCTGAAATTACTTTTTACAGGGTGAAGAAATATTCCTTGATATGTTTGAGGATGAGTACAGAGAAATGAAAGTGAGTTATTTCCCTTTGACTGACAGCTCTAACACACCCTCCTTTCTATTTTGCAACCACTGTACAGATTACCAATCAGATGTGAAATAGTATTAGCTAAAAGTTATCTGAGTAACTTCTAAAGTCTTCAGTCGATTTCAATCAACAAAATCTTACACACATCACAGCTACACCCAGACATCACCGCTAAGGATCATTTTTGCGTTTCGACCCTATCTTATGGAATTATGTCCTTTTATTGAAAAATGCATCAAATTTTGCCTAGACTACTCCTTCTACACTCTTAGGCTAATTTCATTGAAACTGCATACATATTAAGACTATCCCCTGAATTTTTTCATCTCTTGAAACTAGCACAAATCTTTGAACAGATAACTCCATATTCAGTGAAACTTGACACATATCCTACCTAACCCCTGCTGTTGTGCATTTAGGCATTATATTTTGATAGATTATTTTCATGGATACAAAAACTTTGGCCTATGATCTGTCAAGATGCTTTGTTCAGTAAAATTTGAAATCTTTACTAATTTCCTTTAAAATTGTGTCAGTCGTCATTGTGTATAATAAGGCTTTTTGTTTGGCTTCAATAGGCTCATTATCAAGTTCACATATAGGCATTTTCAGAGATTATAAGAGTATTCTTCAATCTTAGCTAGCATTCATAACCATTGATTGTTAAGGATGAATGCCTACAGAAGATAGGAGATATTGTGTATCGAGGATGACCGTACAAGTTTATATTACATAGTGTAAACAAGGGGACAGTATACTTAGTAGTTTATTTGTATCAAGGGTTAACCAGTTTATATGTGATTACCTCAGCATTATCATTTACCTCTACAGAGCATTTTTTAGTGCCAAATTTCATCTCATGCCCTCCATTTTTTAGATTCTGTAATCACAAAAGGCACATAAACTTTACAAAATTTTCCTTTTTCTTTCAAATCTGTCTTCTTCTAAAAGGTCAAATAAATATGGTCCAAATTTGGTCTTAAGCATTATTTGGTGAGAGGAATAATTTTTACAAGTTCTTTAAAATCCTACTCCTCCTATAACAATAAATGGATATTGCCCAAATTTGGTCTGAAGTAATTTTGGGTGAAGGGAACTATATAAATGATGCATCCTAGCCCCCTAGGGCAAAGTAGTGGTCCCAATTGGGGAAATGTAAATTCTTAGAAGTCCTTCTTACATACAAGGATATTGTCCAAGTTTGGTCAGAAGCAATATTTGTGAATCTGACCTCTGTTTGACCACCAGGGTGGGACCCAATAGGGAAATTATATCAGAAATTGTTTGTCATATTTGAAGTTCTTTATTAAATGGATGAATGGCTTCAGCAATGCTGTCCCATTGGACCTCTTTTTACACTAAAGTTTCCGTCATCAGGCAATGAATGTCACATGGATAGTTACTTTTATTTCTGTTGTCTCCAGAGTCGGCCAGTAAATGTGGAATACTTCATGATGGATGCCTCTATTTTATTACCACCCACGGGAACACCTTTGACTGGGATAGGTTTCAACAAAAGACTACCTTGTGGAGAAATGGAAAGAGCTCGGAGGGTAAGTACACTTTCCTTGTATTTGATAGGAAGTCTACCTAGAGAGCAGTCGTGTGGCCTGAGGTTTTTAAGTCTGGCTTCTTTAAGCTGCAAACTAGTTACAATGAACATTTCAAATCAGTTTTCACTTTTGGAGAAATGTCTGACTGGTAACTATTGAATGGGAAAGCATTGTTGATTTATTCCTTTTGGATGTATGGGTAATATCTGTGTGTTTCCCCAGAGTATATTAAACCAGACTGTCAATCTGCCTACCTGTTAAAGGAGCTTAATTTGTACACATACAAAGGTAGTGGTGTTGTTGTGTCATTTGTGATTACAAGATAATTGTGCATGTAATAACACTAATCCATCTGGTGTCTGGTCAATGTTAAAAAAGTCAAGAGTTTATCTTTTATACTTGGGCAAAGGTAGACCAATTAAGAAAATGATGGGTAGATATCATCAGAGCACTGCAATCATAATACGCGTGAAACTTGTGTGTCAAATTTGCTTGTGTTGAAATTTCTGCCCATCGTACACTCAACACATGGTCTGTGGTAAATAATTACCAGTTTAACTACCCAGTAAAAGTTTGGCCTTTAATTAGTGTCACCATCCTGTAGCAGTGACTTACATGTACATTAAAAAAGTAGCGTGTTTACACAAAACACGAAAACATTTAGCTTGGTGATGTTCATCTTCAGGAATGATAAAAATGAAACTGTCAAACCAGTACAAACTTTTTGATGAAATCTGATCCCCACAATTCAGAGAGAAACTAATTTTAAGCTTGTTTACTAAAGGACTGTGATTATGAACTTCAGATTTAGTGTTTGGAAAATGAAGTGCTGAAAGTATTTTTCATTAATAGAGTCTATATCTGTACATGTCTAGCGCTTTTACAATGTTTTCTTTAGCAGGTGAAAAAAATTTTAGTGTCACGTTTTTCATATGCTGATTTATTCGTAATAAAATCATAATTATATGATCTGTAGCTTTATACATGGTTTCTTGTAGCTTATCAAAAGAAAATTTTAATTTTGTTTTATTGTCATTCAGTAAAATATATGATGTATGTATGCTTGGTCAGTAAGGGTATTGTGCACGTATGAGGGATGGAGCGATGTGAGTACAATTGCATTTGATTGGAATTGTTATTACATGTTTTACTATTTGGATGAATAAACAATAAAAAGAGAAAGTAGGATAAATTCATTCAATACTTGAAGTGTAAGTTGTTGAAAAAGCTTCTTCCATACAAGAACATTGTTTGGTTTGAAGCGACTTTTATGAAAAGTGAATCTGCCCTCTGTTTGACCACAAGGTCTGGGCTCAATAGGGAAATTATTTCTGAATCATATGGGTGTGTATGATTCTTACATGTGACCTCTTGTGTATTATAGTTGTCACAAATATTGTCATATATAAAATTCTTTCTTAAATGACTGAATAGCTGAATTAGTCCGGTGAGTAATGCAGGCCTCTTGGGTCTATTGTTTTAGTGTGCAATAAATTATTTATAAGTAGACAGAATATTCTCATGGTTGATTGGTGAAATAAGCAATATTATGAAATTCTATGATTGAATACACCTCATTCTTTCCAAGATAAAAGGTGGACTGTTCCTATAGGGACAGTTTTTCATTTAATATGATGTATGAATTACAGAAAGCCAGGTGATCTATTTTGAGCTTGGTCTGTCTCTAGGCTTTTTACCTGAAAATATCTCCTATCAAAACACTTTGAAAAATATGAATAAGCAATCAGATAATTTCATTAATACATGTGTGTCTATTTCTAGTAGAGTTTTTAGCTCACCTGACACCAAGCAGTGTCCATCGTCCATCTGTTGTCTGTTAATTTTTCTGCAAAATGCTACTAGTCATGAATGACTGAGGGGATTTTGACTAAATTTGGTCTGAAGCATCTTTGGGTGAAGAAGAATCAATTTTGTATAGACGCATACCTGTCAACTTTCCCGATTCAGTTGGATTTTCCCGATTTTCACTTCCCACCCCGCCTACCGATCATGTGGATCAAAATTGGGGGAATCTCTCCATTCAGAGATCCTACTTGGTAGGTCATAAGTAACTTTGCTGTATTTGTCAAATTGGTAAGGATGACCACCTGGCCACATCATCAAGGCCTAGCTAGGTGAGTACACAGCCCAAATATCTAATTAGTGTCACCTAATTCAAGTTAATCCTTACTGACTGCTATGCTTGGGAGCCTACTTGTACATGGCCAATTGTTACTTACCTAATGAACGGATGTTCACTTGTCAGGACTCATGACTGGGCCCAGGTAAATGATCAGTTAAGATGAGGTCATTATACAGATAATTAAGTAGTTGAAATGGTTTGAAAAAAGTGATTAATAATGGTTAAACAGGAAGTAACTACACTTAAGCAAAATAGGAATGGATCCAAACCAAATTTCATGATTTGTATGTGTCTACAGTTGTTTTCTACATGTATATTTCACAGTAAATACAAAAATTAATTTTTCATTTGTTACAAATGTCACAACACACAAGATATCATGAGAATTTTGAAAAGTTGGCAGTGGATCTCTCTTGTAAGAATGATTTGATTTTGCCAAAATTTGGTCTGAAGCATTGTTGGTTGAAGGGATATCAATTTTTTATAAACATTGGATCTCAGACCCCCTGGGATATAAGGGGAGGGAAATAGAGCAAATTCTTTAAAAATCCTACTTCCCCTGTAGGAATGATTTGATTTAGCCCAAATTTGGTGTGAATCATGTTAAGGTAAAGGGAAAGCAATTTTGTATAAATGAGGGATCTCGGACCCTGAGGGTTGGCGAGGAAGATCTCAATAGGGGTAATGTATTTGAAAACAGAATAACATTGCTGGACATAAAGAGATAAACGTAATTGTGATATAAGAATTGGCCTTGGGGTATGGCCCTGCTCCTGGGGACTATGGTAATATCTGTGAAACAGATGAGATGCCCGCCCTTAAACCACATATGTCAATGCTGGGCATCAAGAGATAAACACAAATACAATGTAAGAACTGGCTCTTGGGTATGGCCTCACCCCTCTTGACTTCATTTCTGGGTGATTTCTTTGAAACAATTGACCCTTAGGTGTGGCAAACCGATAACCATATAAACTTTTACTTGGAATCAATAGAGAAAGACAGTGATGTAATAAAAATTTACCCATTGATCTTGCCCCATCAAAGAGGTTAAGTGACTGAGCTTTAATTTGGAAATATATGAAATACCCAACCTATAATCATGTATAACATTGCTTGGCTTTTAGATCCAGGTGCACGATACATGCCCTATGGGCCTCTTGGTAATGTGATTTTGGTAGATGTTCACAGGAATTACTTAGTGCAGTCCGGCATATATTATCATTAGGCTTCAAGTAGATATTTTACCTCACAAGAGTTTATATTCAAACATGTTGAATAGCAGTTTTTGTATTTTTCATTGAACAGAACACATCTATCTGACATAATGCTTGTCATTTCAAGAATTGTTTGATCCATTTCAGAAAAATGCAAATTATCAGAGGGCAAATGAAAATCTTTTTTAAAACTATCGACTTTAGCACTCAATTTTCTCAATAGGTTCTGATGTGGATCGAAGGATTATACGCAAAGTTCCACTCAGTAATGATACATAAATTTAATCAAATTTTATGTACTAACTGGAAAATCCATAATCTTATTTCAAAATCATGTGGTATTTTTAATGTTCAGTGTCCTAGTAAATCCTGAGGAGAGACCTCTTGTTTTCAAACCTATAAAATTCCCTTTTCTAACCCATGAAACTGCTTCACAGTTAGCTTTCCTGAAACAGGATGTTGACTTTCACCAATGGCTATGTAAATTGATCTTATGTAAGCACAGTCAAAGGTCAATAGAGAAACATTTATCATTTGTAGATGTGTCATTTTATAATTTGAAATAGGACAACTTTTTTAAATACCTCACCTTTTATTTACGAAATGATATTGGAAGAGAAACATATTTACAAAAAAAAAAAAAATTAGTTTACATAATCACCCTATGTAAACACCCACTTGATGTTGTGACTAATCTTTTTTTTGTTCTTGGAACAGTTCACCTATGGCTTTGTAACAGTAAACAAAAGTAACGCTAAATATACAGCATTTTGTTTCATGTAGATTTCTGATGAGCTGAAAGCTCAAACTTTATGAGAGATATGATCCAGCATTTGTACCAAATTATTTACACATATTTTAATTGTGTGTTTACTTTCATAATGATTTCATTGAATCAGAGTATTGCATTTATTATGGCCCATTTGTGAACAGTTTTACACTGTATTCATTGGTTTCAAAATGAGGCTTTGATGTGAAAATGGGCAAGAGATTTACAAAGTGTTTTACATATCATTTGATTGAAATGAGTGACTACTTGTTTACAACAAAGGAGGCATATAATAAAGACAATTTTTTCTTTACTAATAAATCTCTCATTCATATGCAATGTGCATGTGAACATGGCAGTCATCATTAAAGTTGATTTTGAAATGTCAGTCAAGTACTTATCCTTTGTTGTGATGACATGATTATGTATAATTTTAACAGTGTTAGGAAGTTAAAGCCTTACACAAAACAAGCAAGCAGGCTATATTGTTTTGTAGCCTACTCATCAAAAGCATTTTCTAGCTACCATATATTTGCATGAAAAATAAAAGGAGAGAAAATTATACATATGTTTATTTGTCTTCACAAATTACCCTGTGATTGGAGACAGAACACAATACATTTTCATTACCTGGTGACATATGGTTTTACCATGTGTTATACACTGTCAAGATCCAAAGGAGGGACAAAATCCAACTTTCAAAGAGCAAATAAAGATCAAACAGTGGTGGACGCCACAATTCCTCTGGTTAGGAAATCAGACTAACCTAAGAGAAATACCAGTAGATGTTGGGATTTGAACTCTCTGCCTTTTTCTCATTTTGATATTATTAAAGATCACAGAAAGATCTTATTTCGGCTACTAAACAGTC